AGCTTAAGGCATAAAAATATAGTTGATGGTGGTTTTTGTGGTTTGGAGGGCTCAGGAGAAAAAAACTGTCGGCGGTGGTAGAATATCGACCGTCAAGAAGGGGGGAGGTTGCACGGTATCGGAGATTATCGGACGTCAAATTACTTTCATGAGGTTGGGGATAGTCAAAGTAGAGGCGTTGAGGAACAGCTGGTGAGACCGGCCATAGTGTTCAGAGACCACAAACATCGGCGCTAGGTGGGGAGTAGAGAGCACGATAAATGCTGCGTAAGCCCACACTCACTACAAATTAAATCACGCGAAATTCACCGTGTCTGCTGTCAGCCCACCATGAGCACACGGTCAGCATCGTCGAAACCCACGATCTAACTGTCCCATGCTGCAGCATAATCCCAAGATTTAAGGTCATGCTTGGATGCCAGCTTTTGGATAGTCATCTTTTCGGTTGTCCGAAAAAATGTATTCTGTAAAAATGAATGCACAACTAGTAGCAGTTTTGCCTATTGACTTTCGAGGCCTTTTATATTCGTTTATATTTTACATAAAACGGACACAAGAATATTCTTTCCAACCCTCATTAGACAGCAAATTGTGTCTTCTCTACGTTTTCTACTTGGAATGAGAGCATCTTTTGATTTCCAACGAAGGCATTAAGTCCACGCATTGGTTTCAGTTTTCGTGCTACAAGCAGTCTTTCTTAAACCTCTACACATGGCGTGATTTATGTAATCAACTGCATTTGAGAATTGCGTCTAGCATTTCACTATGTGAAGCATCAACCTTTATAATCCTTGTAAACTGACGCCTAATGTTATTATAGTCGCTATTCAGAAGTCATGTATTGCCTTGAGCGAAGTGGGTAGGCAGCATTCTCAACTTGATCAAGTGCTGGCCACTCTCAAGGGTGTACACGCAGTCGTTCATCTTTGGAATAATTTATCGGAAACTCATGTAAGCAGGAATGAGTTCATAAGCCAGAAAGAGTTGTCCACGCTAATCCTCACGGTCACATTATTTTCCTATTGCGATTACGGTTAGCTGCAGCTTGGATGAGCACTTTAATGCCTGAGAAAGCCATTGATCTGCGCCTCATTCCTGCGTTGCCTTCGGCTATTTTTCTAATTGCTGTTCTTATAATATAGATTGAAGTAACTTTAGAGAACAGGACCTCTGAACTTCTCTAGAATACATCGTAAGTTACCTGAAACTGCAGCAAGAAGGTATGTTTTCTCGTTGGCGTTGCCTTCTTTTGTAACTGGATTTCACAATCGGCTTCGCTAGTACCCTGTAAACCCTAAACTAGGTAGTTTTATCTCATTGAAAACAGACGTGGATTTTATTGGCCCGTTGTATATTCACGCATAAATAAACCATGGTATACAGGACTTTCGATTACTCGGAAATGTAGAGTCATAGAAAATATGCAGCTCGTGATATAGGAACTGAGATTGCTGCATGTGACAGGTAGCAGTGGTCACTAAGGTCGGATTCCGCAATTTTATCATCTCTGTGCACAATGAGCGAAACTCCGTGTTAGTGTATTTAACTGTTAAAAACCATGCTTACGTTGCTACGCAACAACTGCTTCATAAGCAGGACAGTCGGAAAGAATGCCATTGTCCTCAAGCCTAACAATTTGAGAGTACCATTACAAAAAAGCAGACGGTTCCGACCTACCCAAAATTAAGCGCTCTGCCCTACGTTATCCAGTGTAAACTGCGATTCGGAAGCGAGATAAACTAATTGTTATCTTATTGATGCAAATTGGTGAAGTACATTCTTGGTCACTGCCGATGCTACTTCAACGTCTCGCAGAAATCGACAAATTTGGCAAACCAGATATGGACTTCACCAGGAACTTAAACTTGGAGAGCATCATTAACAACCGCACTATCCATCAGGTCTCACCCAGTCGACTATTTTATAAAATAAACGGTCATTTTTTCGGAAAAGTAACGTTTAACGTCATCTTGGATTAGGGCTATTCCAGAGGAGCGAGTTATTTGTTACAAATATAAAAGATGTTATGGAGTATGAGCTGCAACGACTCGTAAACACGCCCTTCTGTATCAGACGTCTTTTGCATAGTGAAAGTTTTTGAGATCTACGCAGAGAGAAAATTGAAAGTTTTTTTCAAATGGCATTAAAACTCTGCTCAAGACAAAACAGCGAAATAACAAAAGAAAAGTTAATCTTTATCGTACCGCTTTTATCCTCCGTGCGGCCGTCGTGTAACCTTACGATTATGATACACTTCGAATAATGTATCCAATATTATTAATATATTTTCCAGTGTGTGTTGCCAATCATTTCCGTTTCCCGCATAGACGTATGCGAAATTTTTGTCTGCAGGAGTCAGTAACATACCCTTCTTTGCGACGCCGCAGCTATGTTAGCATAACAGCAAGGAGCTTATATAATCCAGTACAAATCTTACGCGGTCACACTTAATTTGGAGCAAGCGTGGCGCTGGCATTGGGTGTTAGCATTCCCTACTGGCTAATATACTTGTTACTCCTGAGATTACATAATATTAACGCATACGTATTATCATTCTGACGCCGAAGTCTCCAAGGAGACTAGATAGTACACATAATGGGTTCTGACCTCAGCATGAATACGCTGAACTTGAGCATACTTTGAAATGGTTGGCATCTTCGCAAACATTTAAAAATATTTTTGGTTTCCGTGTTCGCCGCGAGGATGCCCTTCAAAGAACAAGAAAATGACGCCGAAATCATGGCGGAAAGGGAAGCCGAGTATAACCAGCTCAGGCTCGCTCTGCACTTAGCACAAGCGGATAGACAAAGTTATATAGAAGAAATGCAAACAGCAATGAACAAAATGAAGTGCGAAGCTTTATTGTGTTTTTTTATATTAAATTAACAATCTTAATCTTGGAAATTTTACCTGCCCAAGTTTCAGACTTCCCTAGCCTTTGAGGTTTACTTTTTACGCATCAACTTCGCTTCGCGCTTTATTTTTTTACAATCCTAACAACGTTTTGCACAAAAATAATCCCTTTGTCATCTACAAACATTATATTTTGAAACGATCGTTTCAAAATGCTAAGTCGACTTAGCATTTTGGATTAATGTGCTCTTTTTAAAGCAGTTTCTGACAAAGCCTCAAGAAAGCGTCTTCTATTATCGCCATCTAATATTTATCGACTTGTCACTGAGATAGCAAACTGAAGTATGTACACGTTGTAGAACTCACACGTCGAAAAATCTTGGTGCGTTAACGAACACCGAGGTCGTGAAACTTAGGGCCCTATGCTCTGGTATCACATGCATAATGGGATTTGGCTTAATGTCCCAAAACCTCGCCGTTTTCTCCAGAAGTCGCTTAATTTTTATTAAGCAAACTCGACAACTTGAGGGATTTCAGGTCCTCATAGGCATGAAAATACTCAGCCTTCGCATCATTAACTGGCAATTACTGTGTAATTTATATTGTGTTTCTTTCAGTACAGGTTTATCAGAGACATTAATTCCCGCATATTTTGGTTTTTAGACATTGAATACCAGGCCACTCACACTAAATGTTATCGGAACATCAAGCTCAGAGATAGGAGTGATATGTTTTGAAAGAATGGCTTACGAGGTTTGCGGAGAAATCTCAAAAACGAATAGGCATACTTATGAATGTACTGACATGCTCTTAAGTTATTCTCTCTGGCCTATAAAAAGGCCAATAGTAAACCTCAGAATTAGTAGAAGTCCTGATATATAGAGATGTAGTTGAAAAATTCAGTCTACGAACATAGGGGAGACTACTACAACCATTTATAGCTTGGTAGTCATCGGCAAGTAAGTATTTGCTAAACCCACATGCGCACATAAGAGTTTTATCCGAGCTTAACGATAGTCAGGTATTGTCATGCCAAAAGTCCTAATCCATCTTCTGTCACTTTTAATGGAGAGTATCTAGAACTAAAAGAAAATGGCATCTGTCTATCTGTTCTGATTGAGGAACGCAAATGGGCTTGACAGATCGGGGTTGTCTATCACTCTCATGCAGTCAAAGCAATTCAGTGGGCTCTATTCATACATAGAAAGTCCTGTCGCTGTCGTCCACGGACTGCGCCGCATGCTAGTGTATTGCGGGTTTTAGTGATATTTGAAATTTTGCAATTGGCTACATTTCTGATAATTTTCTCATTTATCCAAAATCGCTAAATCGACTCCGTCAAGGTGTTCTACAATTACTGACCTTATTTTCGTGGTTGTTGTCAATTGTGATGATGAGGGGAGAAATTCACAAAACCCAGTTCTGTCCTAAGTGGTACAACGTTCCTCCCCGAACTTATGATACTAGAAGATGCGGTTGATATCAATTTGCATCATCACCTTATGACCGTGAATGCAACCCTTCAACCAGATAAACTCAACCACTATGTGGCTAGGTAGGCATATATATGGACTATCCAACAAAACCCTATCTAAAGTGCAATCATTGTCTACTTTTAGAGACATAAGGGAAGGAACCCTTTTCCGTTCAATCGTAATCCATACAGTGGGGCAGAGCGAGGGCAGAAGAAAGTTTCTCCCTCACAGCTGGACGTTGACTTATTACCTGACCTACCTGACGAGGAACTTAAAAATGCCTGCTTTTAAGTCATTTCTATTTTTTCCGATAAAAGCAGAGACTTATCCGCGTATTTGCGTTTAAAAGCCCTGACAGAATCCCACTCTAAAGTTGGAAAATTAACCAAAGACTAGATTTTGTACTTAAATAAGGAGATGAAGAGCGTATGGTGAGGGGCGTACTCGTAACGAAGGGTTTCAGTAAAAGGGCCTGCAAAACGCCCCACGAGAATTAATTGGGAGGCCAGTTTGTATAGTCCTCGTCTTAGGTATAGGGTGATGCCCGCCTAAAACTAGCAATTGTTCTGGTGTCTCTGGCATAGCAACGTGAGTTAAAAGTGAATTGTTCATAGATGGGATCGCACGTTGAACAGTAAGTACCAGAGAGCAAAATAATCCGCTAAAAAACTAATACCACTTGAGGCACTTAGGTAAGTACCAGCAACAAAACGAATACAAGCGATCAAAGAAAACTTTGAAATAGCAAAAGGTATAAAAATAACGGTACTGCTATAAAAAAAAACTGAAGTCTTTATTATAATGGTAGGCAAGGTAACCATGCCAATACTCTGCACCTTGCAAGTCACCGTGGTAATTAATTGAGGCGTTAGAACTATATCTGTTCTGTCCTTTTGCGTAGGTAAAACGTACTTGGACATTGAAAAACTGAAAACTGTAAAGTGCAGTCTATTTCTTAACGTTGTTTTAGAGGTTTCAAGCTTCTTTCAGTATTTTAGTTTTATTTTCTTCCATGTTCTTTAAGATTATTATGTTCCAAATATGTCGCTGAAAATAGCTATTTTACCATCGCCAGTCATCTTTACCCCCACTTTCTGGCCGGGATAGCTAAAGTTCCTTGATTATTAGGCGTCCATTTAGTTAATTTTCGCATAATTCAAAGGTAGACTGTTTCATGGGCCAATGTAGTGTTACAATCACTGTGCCGTTTCTTCTGTTTTTTTCAGAAAGACCATCGAACAACTTGAGGCTGAAAGAGATGGAATTATGGAGCAAATTAATGCTGTTGATAGTAAAGCAAACCAAAACAGAGACCAGCGGACCTGCGAAGATCTGGCCAATTTCGCCGAGAACAAAGACTGGCTTCAGCAACAAATTTCCCAAGAGAAGGCCAAACACATCGAATTGGATGCCAAGGTACACTTGATTAGAAACATACTGCTGTAGTAAGTTTTCGAGGCGTTTTATTCAACTCTTGCCCGGCAAAATTAGTAGAGAGAATGTTAACTTAGATATAAAATCATGATAAAAATTGTTTATAATGAAGTAAAAAAGAAGACTGTGTATTATAAAGCGTTTTTATTGATAGTAACGCTTATAGTAGCTTTGGCTGGTTTCGCTGTCAGGAGTTCTACAAAACTATTGTCATAAGAGACCGATGTTTATGGAAAAGCACGAAGCACCTAGATTTCATCTCAATTTCTAAAGCGGTTGTGGCAAACTTGTTGCATTTAGGCATAGTCGCTTTTTGCCCATTGGGAGAACACACTTGTCCGTTGCCTTGACTTAAATCGCCTCTGACCACGTTAAAGCGGATTAGAAATCGGCCTTCTTGAAAATTTGTCCACAAACCTCCTTCAGCCATTTGTATTTTCAAAATTTCAAACTTTCTGAATATGCACTCACAATTTATTATGGAACGAACACTTATCGCCTATTAAGTCTTTGAAAAACATATAACTATCATATGAACCTCTCTTAATTTGCTGTATTGGAAACTCATAATTGTTGCTTAACTTATTCCCATACAGCCGATTCTGGAGCCAATTTAGTTAGGTCCGATCGGAGACAAAGATTTCAAAGGAATAATTTTCAATTTTATGAGAACGCTTAAAAATTGTCAGTCAGACTGTTTCCAGAAATGCAAAAGAATGTTCAACCATCTTCGTTCATTTTTGTTGATTTTCCACAGACCAAGGAACTCGAAAAGCACTTATGGAGCCTCATTCATACAGCAGGAAGTACGAAAAGTGCCCAGGAAGCCATGGATAAGTTAAGAAGAAAGCAAACTAGTCTCGAGGGACGTCTAGTTCATGCACTGAAAACTTATAATGAAGCGCTCGGCAAAAATATGGGTAAAAATCAGTGCACAAAATGTGATGCAATACGCTTTCTCTATTGCTTATGTTCCTTATTCTACATATACGGAGAAGACTTTTTGTTGTTTGCTCAATCTAGTGCCATTTCAAAAAAATTTACATTCCTATTTGACGTTTTATTTCTACAACCTAATGTTTGCATTTTTATCATGAAAGACGAGGGACGAAATCAGATGAGCATTCTTTCAACTGTAATGGAGACAGGGTGACCACTTCGTGGGGCAGAAGTTCATTTTTTAGTTGTGAATCTAACTAACTGCCTGAGGGCTAAGTTTGGGCAATTGCTCTAAGCGCGTCAAATTTGTAATCACATTTCAAGACACGTTTTAACCATGAGATTGGGCGAACAGGCAGCTCTCTCTTAAAGCGTCCTGGTAAGATGGCTGCACAATCTGATTCCCTTATTTATTCTCCGAATTTTACACGAACTGTCTTTCTTCCGTTTTTTCGTCAGCCCTTCGAGCAGAAATTGACACCTTGAGAATGGAACGTGGACGATTCGATCTGATCTACAGAAAACTCGATGTGACATTGACCAAGATGCGAACTGAGATTAATCGCCTGACTCAGATTACTACGCAGGCTTACGACCAAAGGTATCAGACGACTGTTCGTAATCCATTATCCTGAAATTATTGAACGAAGGTAAAAACATTTTAATAGACTTTGCTACAGTTGACTGCGATTGATTTGACTATCGTGCTACGTTCCTCTTCCTACGTAGGAATTTATTATGTATTTTAGCTGAAAAAGTCCCGGCCGGGACTTTTTCAGCTAACCGGTTCGCGCATTAAAACTACACTGAGCAGAACGTTTTCTTCTCAGAACAACCGATGGGAATAAATCAGTATTTTTTGTATTGTTAAATGCACTTTCTACGTGAAATGACTAATCAAAGGGTGTGTGGATCTGTTTTTGCCTGCACTGCCATGTGATAATTCCGCTAGACGGGCAGATCTCTCTGGGATTTAAGATATTTTGTTCGAACGTTTTAGTTTCCGGAGGGGTCAGTGACAAAAGAGTCCTATAGAAATGCCTTTCGCCGATCTCTCCTAACCGTAATACGTAATAGGAGGTGATTACGTTTCAGCCTTGGGCCGAGGGTCCAAAGTCCATGCAGGCAGCCACATGACGACGATTGTTAATACTTGCATAGTCATGCCGTCAAAGACGCGGACGCAGAACTGACCATTCCGGGCTTATTCGCCATAATCTTCCAGTGATGTCCCAGCCTCAGACGTCGACACACGGTGTTCTGGCGTCAGCTGAACACTGAAGTCCCACTCTCGAAACAGCTGTGTCACTGGACTTGGCCCATCGGCTGTGGTCGAAAACATACATTGTGAGATTGGCTTCCACCGACCAACCCTTTGTTTTCTAAGTTAAACCCCTTGATACTGATTGCTACTCGACTCTGCCCGACCCGGTCTTCAGGTATTACTGGCTGACGACGACAGATAAGCATGAAATGCCATTACGGCGTCCTCAAGCTTTGTTAAGTCCAAAAAACTATGCTAGTTTGTTGGTGAAAAAAGTCTCAGCGGACTGGTAGCTGTGATTTCGCAGGTCAAACTGAATAAATAATTTGGCAAACTTCGATCTTTCGTTTCTTCGGCCAGAGCAAGTTGGTCGTCTGCATATAACTCTGATGCGACCTTTTGAAGATAGTCATCTTCAAATGAAAACAGCCTTTTGCCGTCGTCGGTTTGAAAGGGGCTCGCCTTCATATTCCTCATGGACTGAATTACCGGTTGCGAGCGCCAGAAAATCTACCTGACCGTCCTCACTTGTCCGCTGAAATCGTCACTGATAGGAGTAGGGTAAAAAAGGAGGACGCTTAAGTTGATTAGATAATTCTAACAGGCAGTTCATTCAGGCGACAAGTTTGGACAAAACATTCTCTCCGACTGGAATAATAGACGACCGTTTGCACGCTGACTGATTATGTTGTAAGGCTTAGAGTCCGACAACACCTGGAGGCTTAGAATGTAGTTCTAAGCTACCACCTAAACTGTTGCGTGTTGACATATCATTCAGACCCCGGTCCATTCCTGTGGCAAACTCATTTGCGCAAGAGCTACTTAGACGTCGTATAGTTCCCATAGTTCCGAAATTGCATAAAGATCATTTGTGTTCTTGGAAAAAAAACTGAAAAAATTTTGCCGTCAAGTTATAAGAAAGCTGGTTCTTTTGAGCGTTTATGGTTACAGAACAGGTCATTTCATTTTTCGAATACATTGTTATAAACTTGGCATATAAGGCGTGTTTGTGAATTTTCCCAGTTTCCAACTAACTTTATATGCTTGCCATTTGAAGAAAATGCCTTTACCGCTTCCTTACTGTCATAAAGGGAATAAACCAAAACTAACTTCGATGTAAAGAGGGGACTCGCAGGAGAACAGAAGAAACATTCATGTAACGGACGTCGGGAGGCTTTTTAAAAATGATCCAAGGGCTCTAAGGCCAAACTTATTTCGAACTCCAAACTTTAAGTTCACACAGTATCTTCTGTAAGGTGCTAGCAGGAATAAAGCCTCTGTCATTTATACTTGAAAAAAGCCAAATGCCTTTACGTAAGCGTCATAGAAGACTGATAGGGTAGTGTTACTTTTGTGAGGATTTGTTTTGCAATGGGTATGTCGTAGGCTGTTTTGAAAATTCTCTGTTGAAAGACGACATGCCGTGGAGTTGAAATTGGCCTATGACTATGCTCTAAGTTTTTCTACATAGCGACCCTGTGCAAGTAAGCATTTTGTATAACAGGATATCTAAGGACTTCCGTGGGTGTTCCATGAATTTCAGCTTATCTTGAACCATGCGTATTTTCGAATGGTCGCCCTACAGAGAAAATTCTGGACGGCAGCCATTCTGCTGGTTCCGGGCATGGTTTTACAAACCCCTATCCCTTTCTCACCCGTGTTCTTGACGCAAAAACCTTGAGATTTTTGTTGCCACTAGGGAAGAGGCGGCGCAGCGTATCCAAGCGCTTACAGAAAAGGCTGAGAAGGACAATCAACAACACAATATTGAGATGAAGGAACTTGTTCGTCTGATTGACCATGACCGAAAGCTGAAGGAATTTATGAAGATAAAGGCTGCTGAGCGTCAGGAAGATCCTCAGCTGACTGCATGGAAGGTTAGATTGCGTTTCAATCATGATGCAATTACACAATATTTATAATAACACTTCTCAAATTTCGAGGCGTCAGCTATCAGCGACATCACGCGTAGATCATACTGCGACCATATGCATGGTGATACTGCCAGTGGGTAGACGGCAACGTTCATCAGACGTTGGATTACTGGGGGAGGGAGGGCAGTAAGGTCCTTCAAGGAGAAGGTTCTTCGTATTATAATCTAGACGTATCCTAGGAATTAAAAACTGACCAAAGACATCTTAGCAGCCATCTTACCTAAGCGAGAGGTAGATAAACCATCGGGTCAATTAGCTCAACATCCCCCCGCCGGGGTCGTAACTAACAGTAAGACCAGCCCTTGAACTCAACAAGGGGCCGCCAAAAGGTGGAGGCAACAGAAGAAAATCAATCGGACATGCGTATTTCTCTTTGATTTTCCGTTCACTAAACACCTTGGCAGTTGACTGAGCTCGCCAAAACGCTGACAGTACAAATTTGTTCAATCCAACTATTCCTCGTTTTCAAAGGGGAGCATTCAGCGTCGGGAACGTTGTTGTTATGGTTTTACACAGCTCTCGGCATTGGGGTAAATGATTTGATTCGAATCCACATCTCTTTCCGGTCAGGGATGAGAGCGCATCCGGCTGACGATAGAGAGCAGGCTAGAAACGGTCAGCTGTACAATATCATCCTCGCGCTGATCTGTTGTATAACGGCTGATAAAAACGCTTACCTTTGGAAAGAAGAGCTTTAACACTGGGGACAGTGGAGGCGTTTTTTTCAGCATGAGTTAATAGTACACTCTACGTCAAACAGATGTCACAATAATCAGCCACCTTTCAAGCAAAGCCAGCAAGCAGACCAAATACTGTAACCTTGAAAGAGCTTCATTTCGTCAAACACAGTAACGCTTGGAACTTTATTTGAGTCCGCCTTTTCGCATTTTGACATAAAAGTTTTACATATAGCATGATGAGGTTGTGTTATATGGAATTTTTGCCCTATTACAGTCCGGTTTGAGCCGGAAGGTCTGGATTAGGTGCGCAGACGACATTTTCAAATCGATGGCCAACTCAAAAGAGCTCAAACCCAGGCAGCCTCGTTGGTCTGTTATATATCGTTCGAACCACCACTACGTTCTGAAATGGATATCCAAGGACCCCATCTTTATGTGATTAAGCATTCTTCGATAATTTTTAATTGTTGTAATCCACTGTGACCCAACTGTGAAAAACTCGGTGCCTCGGTGGGATTCGAACCCACGACAGCTCTAACCATCTGAGCTAGGAGGCCCCACCGGACGACGCGAGTTTAATCACCTCTGGATTAGGTGAGCCTTGTAGTCATCTGGTGGATTCTAGGTGAATTGCTTAGGAAATCCTGTTTGGGCAGTCACCTTACTGTATCAGATTTGGTGGATTCCGGACGCCGCAGTAGGTTGGGCGGGTAAACTTGACCCATAAGTGATTAAATTCGCTTCGTATGGTGGGGCCTCGTAGCTCAGATGGTTGGAGCGTTGGTTGAACTGAAGCCTTCCCTTGCTGTCGTGGGTTCGAATCCCACTGAGGCACTGAGTTTTTCACAGCTGAGTCACAGTGAAATATTTCAGATCTGACAAAACACCTGCAAATTCATTGTAATCGTCTATTTTATAAAAACAGACTGGGGCCATCATTTATATTTTCTGTTTAACTAGAATAATGCCCGCAGTAGTAATAAAGTTGTATATGAAGTCAATCACCCTTAAACTCTCATTCTCGGGGGACACTTTGTAGTCAGTTTAGAAAAAAAACACCCTTTCTCCCTCCCCTTCTAGGCTAAGCGGGCTGTGGAAGCCGAGGAGAAGCGAGTAGAAGTTGAGGCTTCTATCAAACGCTATGAACACGCGTTTGAGAGGATGTTGAAGCTGACAAACGAGACCAGCATCGACAATATTGTCAGCAGTTATCTTCGTCAAGAGGATCGCAACTTTGCGCTCTTCAACTACGTTAGCGAGATCAATGGCCAAATCGAGGAGCTGGTCAACGAGAATGAATCGGTCCGTGCGTTGATCTTGTGACTTTGCCTCTTTATTGCAACATTACAATCAAAATCAGCATATTTTCTCGAAGCAAACAACTGCAGATCTGGGATCTACTACTTTTTGGGAACTACTACAACATAACTGATGTTCGGAAGCTGTGCGACCCGAGCTAGGGCTGAAGCTAGGAACACATAGTACTGGGTAAACACTGCTTAATATAGAAATGAAAAGATGGTAACGTTATTACATCTCGGATGAACGGACTTTATACGTCTCACCAGGAATGTAAGAGAATGCAGAAAGGTCGTAAAACGTGAGCAATTGAAGCAGAATGAAAATCCATGAGACCATTTTGAGCACTAATCATATCCACAAAACTTAACAGAATGTGCAGTGTCAGCCGCTAAGGTCAATTTCTTATTATCCTCCATGGATTATACTATTCGGCGAATTTTAAATAGTGTAGGTTCCCCGGTGATCTTCATGGCCTTAGTTATACTCACGAAGCGTATGTTAAAATATCCACCCTGGAATCACAGACCGAAGGAGACCGTTTCTACACCAAGCCGCCCCTCCCGAGCGGTAATCGGCGAATCAAGAGTTAGCTCTGTTTTCTTCCATCTCAGTACTATGTGACGCTACTGCTCCGATCATACCAGCAAAAGATCACAACAGCCGAGGGGATCAGCGGTAGCACGTCAATGTGGTGCTCCGCAATGATGGATGGAGCTAGTTGACACGGGCCGTAGAATCTGAAAATGAACATTCGCTGAGGTGTGGCCGCACTGACTGCCTTAATGTTTAGATGAATTCAGATTTAAAACCATCTGACTCTTGGGTAATTTGTGATAATCCAGCTTGCGAAGCAAATTACTGACTACCGTGAATGGATGACCGAGGCAATCGGAAAGAAGAGAGCTGAACTTGGGACGCTTCATGAACAGAATGACGTGACAAACAGTGTCAAGGAGAGAGTCCTGGCGAAACTGGAAAAAACAAAGGCCACACTTGAGGAGATGGCGCAAATGGTTGAGGAACTTGCGCAGGGCCTTACTTGTGATCGGTAAGTTCTTTAACTTGTATGTTTTTTCATTTTTCCAGTCAATATATTTTTGGCTAGATTGATACAGAAGAACCAACGGCAGTATCAAGAGTTTCCCAGTTTTTCAAACCGATTCCTTAGAAATAACAGTCATGAACGACTTTAAACAACGGGGCAACAATGACTTTGCATGCTTTGACACTTGAATAGCCATAAAGGGTTGTATAGGGAGTGTCTAAACCACACACCTCAAGCGAACTAACGTCAGGAGAAGGCCTTGAATGGCCTAATCTGCGAAAAGAGTGTTGTTAGGTTACGGAGTTATCAGGTGGTTAAGCCGGTCCAAATAAGATTTTAAAAGGTCAGTCGATTAGGTGAAACCGAACTGAACAATTTAATAAAATAATCCAAGTCCATCTTCGTTTGTAAATAATGACGCTACTGAAGGGCACCTAGTAGTTGGCGCATGCCAAAATGCTCAGGCCCTGGCTCTTCCGTGGGTGCTTCAGCGTTTCAGGCTCTATCACCGGAACAGGAATTTTAGTCGCCCGAAGTTTCGGATTCATTCTTTGACCAACCATCTTGAACAGCATCAGATGGTGTTAGCGAACGTCGTCCGAGTCCTCAGTTGCCGCCAATTTCGTAAGTGGACATTAGGGGAAAGCAGATGCGCAAGGCGTTCCAAAAAGGATGTTGCGCACGCGGGCAACGCAAAGGCGTCCTTTGGGTCCCATGCCATTTCCACGTTATCTGCTTTGCTTAGCACTCCATTTCTGTAGGAAATTACTAGATCACAAATAGCCAATGAGGATTGATGTCGTCTCCTGTTACTGGCTTCATTGGTACGATTTTGTTCTTAGGTGGTGGCTTGACAGCAAAATTCAGTAGCACTACCAAACTGACCCCTTTATCATGGAGCACGAAGAAGGGATTCTTTACAACGATAGGTTTTCAGTGGTGTGTTTGTACGTCCTTCATGGTCTTTTCAGCATTACGCCTCAGTGCACTACTAGTCAATGCTTTGCTCATCGTGCTTCCCGCCTCATGTAAAATTTCAACACTTTTTGTGAAATCCCTCGGAGAATATGTTTCGATTCGTCATATATAAGACTTTTTGGCAAGGCTTATTCACATTTTAAGGTAATACAAATGCCGAACAACCTAAAGTGGATAAATAAATGTCGGCCACATCTTCGGCAACTATTTAAACGTCAATTTTTCAGCCACAAAAATGCACTCACTTCTCAGAGATGATGTGTAATAGGATTTTCTAAAAAATGTTGAAGATTCATTTTTCCCTATCTCGGTGAACGTCCATATGTTCAGTAACCAGATGGAACGGTTAGAAAGGGTGGATAGAACTTTCGTAATAAAAGGTAGTTGAAATTATGTAACCAAAGTTGAGCTGGCAGCATTCCCTCGCAAGCATTGCACGTTTTAAACAATAACTTACCTTGGATTCCGCTAACAATCCAGTTGAAAGTGGCTGAGGTGAGCGACAACTATTTAGGAGACCGGGCCTGCGCATCACCTGCAGCCGGACACAAATCCTCCGTGATTCAAGATGGCCTGCGGTCTGTCTTTAGTTGGTCTATTGCAAATCAACTCCATGCAAAAGACAATCAGGCAAGCAGAACAAAGGTAAAGTTGGTTTAAATTACGGGAAATGGAGATGCGGTTAGGTCATTTTACTCTCACGCTATTATTGCTAACTCATAAAGTGTGCCAAAATTTACGAACCATTGCTAATTACTCGTAAACTGGCACAAACGAATGGAAAAAAGCTTTCAACTGATAGTGAACGAATCTAAGCGAATTAGAAACATGAAAGAACTATTAACATTAAAATTTCGTTGTTTACAAATAGTAACATTTTTGGAAAAATAGCAAATTCCAGAGATGTCAAAGAATCGCTGTAACTGAGTAACCCTAAGTATTAGATATACAGAGAGCCTGTCCGTGCAGAAGGCGAGTAAATAAAACGGCACAGATAGAATAACGCTTGAAAATCGTCCGTTAGGGAAGTTTGCATTTAAATATCTCTCACAAATATGTGCAATGTCAAGTATGACAGTTACGCAACAACCTACAGTTTGGACATGGATCCCATTATGGTTTCACGAGAACTAGCTGTATTTTTTCGTTTTTAAGTTGTTTGACCAAGGCAAACTGGTTTTCTCTTGATTTCGCCAGTGTGGACGTCAGAGGAACACAATTTCTCATAAGGTTACATTCTGACTGGCCGACCGGTGACTAGTGAAATAGGTGCAATTGTAATCATACCATTTTGTGTATATTAAGAAACCTTTCCTTCTGTCAAATTTCTTTGTAGTAAGTTCTGGTGCTGGAGCACGATTAGTTTCAGATCGTCCTTGAAATAGTGGCGAATACTCCATGATTCTCGGTGTTTGCAATCGATCGACCATAAATGTAGATTCTGCTCTATGTATTTATCAGAACCTTCAAAATAATCCCCTTCTTGAAAGCATTTCTCGAAGGAATGAGTTCTTGAACGTTCTTTCTAGTGTACATGGCCGTTTAGGTCATATTTGTAGACTCACAAAAATCTAAGACCTAATCGCCGAGAAAAATGAATGTCCACAACGAAAGCCGGCAATGAATTTGCCTTAGATCAATTTGACAACCTTTTCTAATAAGTTACCTCTTCAATAAGTACTTTAATTAGGTATTTCGCTGACCGATATCTGCGTGCTTTGCCTTTTTCTAAAGTTAAATCAGGGTAAAAATCGGGACGTTTGGTCAGCTTTTTCACTTCCCTGAAAATTAGCGATACGTTTTTCTGTCGCCAATGAAAGAACTCATCTTTCTCTTTATATTGTAGCCTTTTTCGTTATATTCGTTTACTTCTGGGCTCCGATTTAAGATTGTAAACGCACAACAGAGTGACCTTCTAAGTAGCAAGATACTGCAAAGACTACTAATCTTTCACCCGTTCCGTATGCCAGACTAATTGACTAGTGCGACGATTAAGCAAAAGGAGGTAGGACCTTAACTCTAGAATAAAATGCGTTTAACTACTCAATGGCCGTAATATCTCGTAGCGCCACTGGAAATACTGCACCATTTCCAATTGATTTGAGTATTTGGTTCCGGTTACCTTCGGTCGAGATGCAATGTTAATCTTACTGAGTCTTCTAAATACGCCATATCTAGGACCCCTCTCACACGTCGTCTGGCAGCCAACCCGAAAGTTACAACCGAAACACTCCTCGACTATCTGATCCTCATAGAAAACCGAATAAATGAAATGCTTTTGGTGCGCCAGTTTATCGCCCAGAACGACTCAGATGCACCCTTCATCTCCAAGGCTATTCTTATTGGCGGGAATCTGAGCGCACCGGGTGCTTCGCCACCAACTATAATTCCCCCTAATGTGCACACGGACTTTGAAGAAGGTAAGTCTGATTAACCAGAAACATTGCTAGGCATGATGATTACCTGGTTCTAGTCGAAAACACTTATTACAATCTCAATCGCCACTTTAAAACTTCATAATTTTGCACCCATCCTCACTTCTAATTATAGTTTACATGCAGCACTTCCATGTGACTCTGATCAAGTGCTGCAAAATCTCGCGTAGAACTTTTTAAATCTGACAATACATTGCAATTTTAGAGGAAGTGATTTCCCGATATATCCCAAAGCTACTTAACATGGCTGGGCAAGATAACGTAAGCTTGAATGCAAACCAAAACAGGTTTGAGAGCACGCTTGGTGAGACCTGGGTAGTCTCTCAGTTACTTCCTTGAAGTCCTGCATCCTGTGGCTGACTGGCTCGAACAGTAGACTGGTGGCTGGGGGAGGGAGGTCCACTCTGGGGGCTGCGTCCCCCATGGCACTCAGCGCATATTCCTCACTATAAACAAGCTGAAGCACTTTCAAACCATCGCGACGCTTTAGATGGCGTGGGTTGGAAGGCTGCCAACTGACGGGATGATTCGGTCCCCTCAGAACGGCGAGTTAGGCTGCATAAGTTCCTTCTATGGCACCCACACTCAGATGGCATTTGAACTGCCTTCCTTGTTTTCTGTGAAACCCTGGTTCATTGCGCGCAGACCAGACGCGAGTGGCATGCGCACACCGGCTGTTTGGCCTTGCTAACCAATGTGCCTGATTCCCCCCTGTCTTTATGACTGTCTTGACACCGGGCCCAGGTGGGTGAGGAAGGAGAGAGTGTGGTTAAGTCTGCGCAAGTCTTCTCCACTATAAACTAATTCACGTGCAAGCCACCGTCCCTGCCCCTGCCACGCCGTGGCCCACATGGGGGACATCGTCGTTCGCGACGGTCGAACTGTCGTCTGGAACGCGCATTTTCGCATGTATAAACAATCCCAGCAATGGTTTCCGTCTAGTGCTCTGTCACCAAGATAAAGCAATCATTGTGTTGTGGAGTTTAACTACCTCATGCCATTTCTGACTGATTTTAGGGTCTGTTTGTGCCATATTCGGAGGTCATCAGACCTCCCGCAAACATCCGTTTTACCTGCGACTCTGGCGCGCGTACAACTTATAAATGCAGTACTACAATGAAATCACCTCTTGCAGCACCGAATGTCCAAAGAGCTTCCTTTTCATGCAGTCGTCTAAGCCAACGTAATTCTAGAATAATTGATGTGACATCTTTCGCCCTTAAAGAGACCACTTGAACATAGCTGACTGAAATACAATAACAGCATCGGGTGACTTAACATGGTCTTCATAACTATAAGCTGAATTTCATTAAGTGTCTTGACGGAGGCCCATTCATACAGACCACCTAAAAGGTCGCAAAACGGTTGAGCGAATGCGATCGGAGATAGAACGACAAAGCTCAGACAATCTGTTGTCTTAGCCTCCTGTCCTTATCGTTTGACTCCTGATATGGTTTACTTGGTAGTTCCGTGATTATCTACGTGGTCGCTTGTTAGCGGTCCCTACTTATGCATGGTCGAGGCACGAATGAGATTGGTGTACTCCCATGCCAGCCTGAATATCCCGATAAGGACTGAGCGGCGGATTGGAACTGGTGGAATCTAGGATTCTTGGAGCTGCTGTCCCTTCGAGTTGACCTCACCTGAAAACCATGCACATTACGTATACGTGCATCGGTTTTTACCTGGTTGCAGGTAGTTGTAGAGGGTTATGGATAAGTGAAGGGGGCATAGGCAAGCCTGGAACATTTGATGCTCCAGTATGCATTACCTTCTGTGCTGCCTCGAAAATAAATACGTCGCAGGTGTCCAGACACATCTTACGTATTAGGCTTCGTTTAATTAAGTCGGCAATTAATAAAAGATAACAGCGGAAGAGAAAATAGACGCTCACTATGGTACTAAGTGAGTTTGAGTGAATTCGACCGTCATTTGCAAAGAAGTCTGATGCTCTCCTGTCTAAAAGCAAAAGTAGCATCCTAAGAACGTACAATTCTAGCTATAAATAAGTGGTGCACATTATCGTCAAGGACGTGACGTTTTCGTTTCGTGAACAATAAATAACCCCTAACTGCAGGCGTCTAGCACAGTCCGTAATTGCAAACTCTGGGAAACCTGTCAAGACCAACCACTGGAAATAGAGAACTCAGGCAACTGGAAAACATTTAATGGGAGACGTAGGCAAACCGAAGGCTCCCGAATTCGCTCCTGGTGTTCAGTGTGTGAGTTCTCGCTGTCATGCCGGTTAGTTTGTCCAATTATTGAAAGAATTCATTCTTACTGGCTCGTAGGTCCAGGCAAATTTGGCCTGAATGACGGTTCTGTTGGGATCGCAAACTATCCTATACGAAATGTTGATGACATCATAGATCCCTTAACTAGTCCGTGTCTTTAACTTTCTCATAAACTAACCTTCGTAGTTGTAAAACGGTCAATATATTAATTCATGCAGCTGTCCGATGAGCCTGATTTTGCTCAGCCGGTACAACCGAAGATAAGAATTCTGCGGTCGGAGTTCTTCCCATTTTACAGCACATGTTTCTGATTTGCGAGCGTCTTATTCCTCTGTAGTTTGCTCTAAACAACTGGCTGACGTAGCTGCAATAGCTCGGAACGAAACGAATTCGGAAGGTCACTTAGTAGAGTTCTTCATACGGCAGAGCTGTATAGTCCAAGCGGTAAGAGTGTGTACTCAGAGCGCTACAAGCATCAGGTCAAATTCCAAATTGTAAGGAGAAAACAAAGACACCTGAATGAGAGGTTTATTGTATTAGTAATCCCTCTCAGATGGTAGTGGCCGCTGGCAAAGCCAGGGCTGATGCTGACTGCGTCCGGTCATGCTTGAGGGTTCGTAGATCAGTGGTGGCAGCCGCTTTTTTAGGCTCGTGGGGCAAGCTCAAGTGGTCTCCAATCGGTGTGTGTTACAGTTGTCGAGGGATGGTGTCCCAGTGGCTTAAGTTGCAGGGGGGTGGTTCGTTCAAGTGGCGCATGTGCAATTGCGACCCCGTTGACGCACGTGCGCCCGACTTGAAGGTGGTCAAGTGGCTGCCGGTCAGCACGTCCGGAACCGCTCGCTGCGAAGTGAGTAACCTGGACGCAACGGGAACTCGAACAGTGGCTTCTGACCGGGCATGATGGCTGCCCGCAACAGCCCCCCGCCAGACACCGAACGAAACGACGGTGCCAATCGTGAGGTAAACGGTGAAATAAATGAATTGATCCAGTGCAAATGAGGGTTTGAGAGCATGTGTCGATGGTGACAGGAGCAGCTCTGACCGCGTACAAGGATGAGGCTGCACCCTGTACAGAGGTGCAGTTGACGCATCAACCATGGGCGCGCTGGCGTGGTCTCGTCAACATGTGCCGGCGAGTTGGCATATTTGCATGAGGGGAAAGGACATCTCGGACACAATGCATCCCAGTGGGGACTTAGTCGGACGAATGCGTCAGAAAAGTAGGGTTACTGATGTCCAGACACAAAAATTTGGATAGAATGCAATGTTGAAAGTGTGAAGTTTCATTGATGCATATACATTGGGGTTTTGGGTACATTAACATAATTCACAGATGATTGTTTCGCTGGTAATTGGCGGAAGAATGTCTCGGACAAAAGAGAGGCGTTCAGAGGGCAACACATTTGGAGGTCTGCTCTACAAAGTTTGGCTGAGGTTTGACCTGGACTTGTATGGCTGAGTTTTGTTGATAATATCCCTTCGGATCGCGACAGGGTGTCAGAAATGACTTTTCCCTATCCATGGGCACGATGAGCACCACAGGACTAACAGCAAGCTGAGGTTGAGGGAGAATTTTGTGACGGTTGAGTTCAGCCACATCTGGAGGTTGCACTTCGATCATGTTGGGTTCGCCAATATTGCAGCAACCTAAGCCTTGGATGAGACCCTGACTACCACGACCATCAGGCCCGGTTCCGAATGGAAAGAGAAGATGGACGCCAGTTGGACGGGTTGTTTATTCCGTACGAAATAACCGGAAAAAGGGTTGGAGAGAGTTAGCAGCCGGACGAGGGCATGCCCGGCGCCGGGAGAGCGGCGTTCCAAGCGTCCCTCAGGAAATGCGGCAAAGCGTCTTGAGACACGGCACGTCTGACTCGGCCTGGAATCTGATTGGCCAGTTGAAAGTCCTTGATTTGTTGATTCCCTATTATTCAGTCTGCCTAGATAAAATTGAACTGTCGGTATTTGACATGTTCCCATGGACGACTGGTGCTCTCCTGCACATGAGAAGTTCGACTTACCATCTAAGCTGCTTATTTATCATGGCATATCGTAAGAGATGTTGTTCTCATGACAGCGTTGAACTTGGTACAGGAATATTGACCCCCTGTATGGCAGGCGGCCCTATCCAAGATTCGAGAGGGGTAAGAGCTACAGATGGGAGGGTTAGCGTTAAGGAGCACCCCTAGAATTTAACGCGAGGCCACCTCTACTACTGGGAGGCGGTCCGTTTTCCCCGTCCCAGTCCATAAGCTAGATTTGGGCATATTTCAGAGAGATAGACAAAATATTTCGGAATCACGACCAGTAAGATCAAAGTTTCCTTTTTTTGTCCTCAAAGGTGACATTTCGACCCCTAAAAAGTGCCACTTAAGCTCCAACTGATCAGACTACTTGTTACCGTCTGTACCTACGTGTTCCTTCCTCTCCTGCCTCTCACTCTATGTTACCTTTTTAGGCAACGAGGCCGAAATTCGCATCCCGCTCTCACGTGAAGAGTTGCACAAGCGTGTCATAAGTCTGGTGAAGAACAAGGAGGAGGCAGCCAAACGCAAAAGTTCAAAATCTGGATCTATTACTCTAGGAGGCTAAGTTATCTTCACAAGGCCGTACAATGGATTATAAAAACGCTGGCTGTTATCTCCTCTTAACTAAGTTAAAACGCCGGAAATTAAGCAAACTTTAAACAGCTCGCCCTTCATGAACCAGTGCTTGTAAAATGGTAGCGCACGCCACATCTTTCAGATAAGAAAGCATGATCTTTCACGAAACTTGCACATTTCTAAAAGTCTCATCGGCTTCTTGGAATACTTTAAGCGAGCCAGGTTGTATGCGCTCTCTCTAACCCAGTTTTAGACCGTTTTGCTCTGTTGTGTACTGACACATCGGAATAACGGCTGTTTAGTCTTTTTAGCGGAGAGTTTGCACTGCAGCAGATGAGAGAGCCTAGTTGAACAGTGCTAGCTAATTTTTGTCCCTTCTGCAAAATGACCAAAATAGGTGAAGTCGGTTTTCCCGTAGTTTCGTTGGATCACAACTCTCTATGGTTTGCATTATCAAGCGGCCGATAGGTTATCTCATCTTCATTAAACCGAGCATAAAATGGAGACACGGTTAGCATTCAGCGTTGATGAACTTAGGGCACTTGTGGTGGGACTTGTTAATCATTGAAGTGGCTACTGGTTTTGCCTCTGGAGGACAACGCGCAGGACTATCACAGTGCTTTCAATCAGACTGCCTCACACTGCCTGACACGGTTAAACTAAAAAAATGATCAAAGCTAGAGTAGATGTTTGCAACGGCCATCAGTGCATTGACTTTATATGAATTCCCTTTGGTAGTGAAACCGAAGTCGGTCTGTCGTAGACTTTGCGTCTTTGCGTATATTAAGGACGGGGTTTCGGGTTACGAAGTAGTTCCAGTAGTGCCCCTAGAGAAAAGGCTCACTGGGCCGAAGTTTAAATGTTTCATAGCAGCCTTCTCAGCAACGGCGGTGGGAATATCGTTGGCTGATGACGGTGAATAAGGCAAAAATGACTATTCCAGTTGTCCTTGTCGGTTTCGAGGACATTTCTAGAATGGAGTAATGTTCATATGACAATTTCGAATTGCCCCCGAACCGCAGACTGATGGGAGAACAGGATTGAATCCACTCACAATACGGTAGTGTCTTGCCAAAACACTAAATTACGGGCCAAAAAATGATCGTGCAAGATTGGACTAGATAGCAATTCGATCAAACACCAACTAGCATGTCAGAGAAACTCCGCGGAGTCGGGCTTATGCAGGCTCAGGGTTCTGTTAAAGAAATAAGCACCTAATGTTGGGAATCAACAAACTCCCATCTGTATTGTTGTTTAAAAGGCGTGCTGGGCCAAGGCCTTATGTACGTTGTAGAAGTGTGAACCTTTCAATTTGAGCGGAGGAAAAGATGCGAATCTTAGGCCCCCATTAAAACCAAAAGAATATCGGCTTTCAGACAGACAGGATGTTTGACCTAGCCACCGGAAATAACGGGAGTCCATCATCAGAGCTTGCGGATGAACAGTAATAAATCTCACGAATGGAAGAGAATATGCTACGACAACTAATGTCCTCCAGTCTCATGTCCCACAAGAAACGCAATGTGTTCTCAAAAATAGAAGACGAAGCACTACGGACGTTGGAGGCCGACAAAGACATTATCATACCTCCGGCCGATAAAGGACAATCGACGGCTGTACTGACCAAAGAGCACTACGTCAACAAAGTCCAAACCCTTTCGGGCGATGGAATTGCCTCCAGCCCTCCTGAAGGGGACATGGCGAAGACGCTAATAAGCAAAATCGACAAGGATCTGGCAGGTCTTCGGAAGTCAAAAGCAATGACATAGCTTGACTGGCAGAGGATGAAACCAAAGGATTCAGCGATCGCGAGATTATATGGTCTACTCAAGGTCCACAAACCAGGAACTCCCTTACGATCGATAGTTTCTCTAAGAGTTACCTCAGCGTTTAGCCTGGCTAAGTGACTGTTCCATCGTCTGAAATTTCTAACTCAGGGTTCTAAAACAACCATCCGCTCAGCTGACCGATTCATTAAAAAGCTGCAAGGTATTCAACTTACAGATAGTGGAGTGATGGTATCTTTCGACGTGATATTACTTTTTACCTCCATCCCACATCTCGCGGTTGAAACCATACAAGCCTTTCCAGAAGAACACTATGAAGAGACGGACAAAAAATTAAGACAAAACACTTCATCGATCTCCTGAAATGCTGCTCGAAGACCTTCTTTACTTTTAATGGAGCTACTTACGAGCCAGTTAAAGGTACAATGATGGGTTACCAGCTTGATTGTTGAGGCGGTGTTTTAGCGACTGGAGGCACTAGCTTTTGACCACCACCGGCCACGATTGTGGATACGGTATTTTGATGACACATTTATCATCATTAATCAGGGCAGGATTGGGGGAATCACGCAACTTCTGAACTTGATGTTCCCAGATATCCAGTTCACGATGGAGGAGGAAAAAGATTGCCAGCTGCCGCTTCTCGATGCACTGGTTCAGAGAAAAGACGGTGGGGAACTAAAAACAAAGGTTTACCGGAAGGCGACGAATACCCCTCGTATTCTGAGTTTCCTCAGCAACCACCCCTTTCGCACAAACGCAGCTGCGTAATAACCCCCTACCAGCGTGTGGAAACCCACGGCCAGCCGACAAGAAGGCCGAGGTCCAGTTCCTTAGGAAACTCTTCACAGCGAACGGCTACCCTGGGAGTTTTGTCGAAAAGTGCAGGCGAGAAACCCGGGGAAGAAAACCGAAGGAACAACCAAGACCGAAATGCTGGCGCGCAGTGCCGTACATAGCTGGTGTATCAGATGAATTCGCTAGACTGGTCATCAAATCTGGGATTGGCGTCACCCACAGACCTGAAACAACAATGCGCCGGCAACTCCTGCACCCTAAGGACCCGATTCCCATCAATCAGAAATCGGGGGTCATTTACTGAATGGACTGCAATTGTGCTCAGGTCAGTTGTGTTGATGAAACCGGCAAGCAGGTTCGCATGAGAGTGCACGAGCATGAGTTGGCTGTGAGACGGGGAGATAGACTCGCCTTGGTAACCACCCACGCCTCCTCGCCAGGACACGACTTTGACTTTGAGTGCGTGAGAATGTTGGGCCAGTCGGACGACCGAGTTGCGCGCCTGCTTCAGGAAGCGTGACACTAAACTGAGGACTCGATCAATTGACATATTGATGAGCCAGTCGTTTATCAAGCACTGCGTGAACAAATCAGCAGCGCAGCTGGAGGTCATCTCCGGCGTAGGTTAGCAAAATTTGCAATGAGTTGTGCAGTTTTTTTTCATTTCTTGACGATGGGCTTGCGCGAGAGTTCGAAACGTCAGATAAATAAACAATTCGTCCCACAGATCGCCTTTCTGTCCTCTTCCAGTTATATATATACACTTTTGCATTATCCTTCATTGAATACGCACGACCCTGGCTGAGGACCAAGTTACACCCTCTAAGAGTGAGGACGGAAAGCGCGACGAGCAGTAGGCAGAGCTGTATACGTTTTAGTGGTTTATTCTCAGGGACCTGACCTGCTACCAGCTCATGATGTTATCCTGGTGCCCAGGAGGTCGAATGCATGGCCGGCTTCCAAGATGTGGGTAGTCACGTGATACAGTTATTCTCCCCACATCACCGGTTTGTGTAGGTGTATTCGTGAGTTCACTCTTTATATGATATGGACGGCGTAACTACAATGACAGTTGGAGCATAAAATTGGATAAACGACACCACACTTTTCATTTGCATTCAGTCATCGCTTTATTCGAACGGATATTTTGCTCGGGCCACTTTCTGGTCGATGGGCGACGCTGACGCCAAGCCTCCAGAAATATTTCTGATATATGGTAGGAAATGTTAAATCTTTGGCAGTGCTCTCATTCTTGTCCTCTGTGGGTGAACAAGGAGGCACTGGCTTGTGACGACTGGAGAAGAGGGGTCTCTTGCGACTTAGCTGCGTAGATAGAGGACTCCAAGGCGATTGACTACCTCAATTCGGTCAGCCTCCCAATTCCTTGTATACTTCCGAGGTCGGCGGATTAAATCGGACGAAATCATGGCCTTTTTCGATGTGACGTCGTTATCCACACCCAACTCTCCGGATTTGACGTATGCAGTCTTGCACATGACAATTATGGAGGCGTACAACAAAGTTCAGCCTGCGCAAAACTGAGCATCTTATGAGGCTTTCAAATTTTGCCTGAGAACTTACTTCACCATTGCTGGGGAAAACTATGAGTAGATCAGGACGACTCTAATTAGATTCCCTATCTCCGATTTAGTGGTAGAACTAGTCCTACAAGAGGCAGAGCTGCGTTCATCCAACAGGAGCCAATCTTCTGGTACCGTTACATTTGAAGACTCGTTGGTTATCGTCGGGAAGAACATGTTGCAGAATTTCCATATCCTGCTCATCTCAATCTTCCCGTGCATACAACTCGCAAGGGAGGGGAAAGGAGCAGCAGCCACCATACCCTGATATGCTCGTCAAGCGAAGTCCCAACGACGAATTGCTGGAGGACAACGAACATCGCATTCATTTTATGCCGAATGGCTATTCGAAGACGTTTATAAACCCATGCCTACGTGTTTGCCCCCGGAGAACCCCACCGGAGGTACCACCGATTATATAACATGCTCTGGCATGCACAGAAGACATTTCAGAGGTGACCGAGCGCACTGCTGGGGGATCAGGTGTTCGAATTGCCCGCCAGCACAAAGCCACCATGCGTAATAACATCATGAAAATCAAAGGCCAATTAAATCCGAGGGAGCAGTCGGGCGTAGTGTATCGAACCTCGTACCAGAACTGTCATTGTAATTACACAGGCCAGGCTGAGCGCGTGTTCGGAGTTCGCATACACGAGCATAAGCTGGTTGTGCGACATTGTGGCGAATTATCACAAGTGGCCACCTATCTCTTCGAAATGGGCCACGAGTTTAACTTCGCAGCCACCAAGATAATCGCCCACGCCGAAAACAAGACAAGCCGGGAATTGATTGAAGAATGGGCCTTGGATGAGAACTCGGCCAGTCGACGTGTTCACTTGGCACCGGCATACAGAGCTCTGCCCTGCAACCTCCACGCCTGCGTCACTGCCCGTTGCTCAAAAAGCACTCCCTATAACTGTCGCCCATGTTGTGGTCACTTTACCTCTGACGATGGACTCTTGCACAAGTTTGAAATTTCAGACAACTAGACAACTTTTTCCGATTCTAGACCAACTTTGTTCTTCCCCACTCTCATAGAAAACTCCCTGAGCTCGTCCATTCGGATCACTGCAGTGCATTTGTTTAGGTGCTCCGCAGGTACGCATGTACGCAACTGGGTGACTGCTGTGATATCTCATGACCTGTGACGTGTTGGGAGCATTCCTGTACGCTGTGGCACCTAATTCGCAACTTATTTTTTGGCGTGGGATCAACATCGAAGAAGGGCAGATGTTATTCTTTCTCGTCTCTATGAGGTCAATAGCAAGGGAGGGGCTGTCAAACATTTGCACTGGAATTTCGTGACATGTTCTTGTCGGTTTTTTGCGGCTGAAAGTGAGCTTAAGCAACTCCTGCCGAGACAGTTTTGCAAACAAACCTTATATCACAGAACCGACCGGAGTTACTACGATCCGCTCATATGCCGCACCGCTGAGCGTAAAACACTTTCGGTTGCAAAATGTCAATAGCCTCATTAGGCACTAGATGTAAGTGGGCCCCCGCATTTCGACGAGACCCTATTCCAGGCCTTAGTCAATAATATCACGCGCCATGGGGGAGGCGTGGACTTAAAGGGTACCGTCACATCAACGTATGCCGAAATTTCGTCAGGTACAAATTTTCGTCCTTCCCTCGAAGGCCACCTAGGGGTTGTGAGGATGGAGCAACAGAGGTCGTTTGGCCGTGTTGGATGCCGTTAAGTTTCCGAGAAGTTCGCATGGACAGACCGCAGATGGGACACAGCGTAGCTACTGCCTGAAGAGGCACATCGGCTTCATAGGAACAACTCTTTCCTCATCGGAAGATACTATTGGACGGCATTTACCGAGTGAGATTGAATATGCAATGCCTCTTCTCCACGTCGCGCCTCGACTTGGGCGGCTTCACTTTGTCGCTGATTTTTCGCTGGTTTGTGGATCTCTGTGGACAATGGGACTTTTTATTTCTAGCACGTGCTTGCTCTGTTGGTTAGTCCGGTTCATTTCACACACGAGACGCTATATCTGATAGATTATAAAGGATTTTTGCCGAATGAATGTGCGGGTAATGTTTATAAGAATGTTAGGGAGTATATAAGGGCTTAAAATATATGAAAAATAGCCATAAAAACACATGGTTTTTACTTCGCAGTTTCTCAGTTTTAGCGGGGATTCCGGAACACAACCCCGCGATCGAGGAGGGGCCACTGTGCTGTAAGAAAGACGGAAGCTTGATGACTTACGGCCAAAGAACCAGAGCAGCTTATGACGTTATCCGAGACCTCGACCTCGGAGAACTACCCGGCTGACAGTTAAAACGTGCCTTTCGGCAACTGCCTTCGACCGTTATTGTCATGCGCAGAATCGAGCAGAACACCTGCTAAGAATTGGCTAGTTTTAGAGTTAACCCGAGAACTGAACATCTTTTGCGCAATAGACGGTGGGATAACAGCTTCTTGTCGATATTTTGACCTGCCTCGCAGATGAACAAACAACCGCACGTTTGCCATGCGACAACTTATGCGATCAATGCGTTCTTCATTGGGAAAGAAAGGGCAGCTAGCTGCGACCAGGACTGAATATGAGAAACCTGACCTTGTCAATGAACCGCCATACTCAGAATTCTACAGCGAAATAAGGCCGCAAATTACCCTTTTGTAAGCTTCGATACTCCAGTGGATCATTCAGCCCTGTCACAGTAATGATCACTGATCGTCTTCTATCGTCTGCCCTGGGGTTGACATCCTCCTGACGCAGCCTCGGCATTCCACCACATACAGTCACATGACCTAAAGGCCTTGTCCTAGGTGATTAGGGTTCTTGATTAACCTGTAAGTCCGTTTCATGTGTTGTGCGAACCCCGGAGACCAAAACGCCCAAAATGGCCTACATTTATTGGGGGATGCCATGACCACCACATGGAAGTCCCACAAAGTGCATATTAAACTCGGGCTCCTAAGACGGAATGAACGGTTGCGCTGCGCCAGAACGGCTCACCCGACTGACACAAGTTGGACGCTTGCTTGGTGCCACGTCAGCTACTGTGCACGATCTTGTAGATAGTCTATCTTATTGGAACTTGACGCCGACGTAAGGGAGAGAGGTACGCTGAAGTGTCTTCTTCCACGCAGCTACAGGGCTTGATTTCCCCACTGACATCTAACGCGCATCGGTGAAACCTGTTCTAGCCCGCGAATTAAGTACGTAGCTACTATTTTCTATGTCGCCTTTCAGTGGAAATACGGAATCTACTCAGCCATAAAACTGGCTGGTTGCACGAATTGCGTCTTCGATTGTCCGCAGGATTAAACAGTAGCTACTACTTAAACATGGCGCTCGGCTAGACTCATGAGTAACCAACTCTCGAGATCCCGAAGGCCGCCAACTCGAGACAAAGTGCGATCTTTATGGCATCTCCTACCTTTGCGAAACTCTCATTGGTAAGATCTGGTTCATGCGTATCGAGTTACCAACACGTGCATGGTACGCGTTGGTGTGCGGTTAAGTCTAGGCCAACCACTGCGACCAGGACCACCCTCAGTCGTCTTGGGCATGGCGGGTGAGAATGACAAATTGGGATGGACTCTGCGCAACTCCCCACCGCCTCCTCCCCCAGGCCGGCTTCATGGTCTTTACTCAGTGGCCACCAACTAAACGCCAGTCAGTCAAAGCGGTTTAAGTCATCCGTGTCATGTCACGGCCGTAAAACCACAACACCTGGTGCACCTCAGCGTAGTTTGAGTCCAGCAAGTTGAGAACTTCGGGCAGAACCGATTTAGTGTTCATGTCCACCGAGTGAGAAAGAAGCAGTTGGTAAAGATCAGAAGCCGGTTAATTAAAATTACGCAATAACAGAATTACAAACGGCATATAAAGGAGTTGCAGTCGCTCTTATGGATGCAACTCCCGAACAGGTGTACGGAAAGGAGAAGGCGGAACATGAGACATCACTACAGGACAACAGATTAGGCCGGTATAAAAGCACACAGAGGGAAGGCGACGATTTGGCTATTCGAGCATAAGGTATACACACACTCGAATGGCACTGGTCGTTGTTTTCCTCTTTCACAAATGGCAGACGAAACTGAGATTATAAATCAAAATACGTAAATGCGATAACTCGGAGAAAAACCCGTAAATTAAAGAGGATTGGCGAAGCGGAGAGAAGACCTAAGGGGAGACTGGACTGGAAAATAGATTCGAGGAGGTAGAGAGCAAAGTACAAATACTCAAAAGTACTTCTGTGAAGAGGGGTTAGTGGAGATGGAGCAGACGGCAGTGCGAATTAAACACATGTGAAGATAATCGCGAGAGACACTCAGAGGACGGGGTGAAGCCGTCCAACTATTATGCATGCGCAGGCGGTAGCAGCAGGCTTTTAACACCGGGTCTCGTAGAGGCCACTCTTTCCGATGTAGCGTACCCATTTGATGACGTCATGATCCGAGTAGTTGAGTTTTGGTTCGAACACCTTGAGAAAGCGCACCCGGAAACCGGATGGAGCAAACGGTACCTGAGAAAAAACAATGGGCACGGATACAAGAAATTCATGTAAACAGGCTAGACTGACGGCCTCGCCGCCGTTTATGACGATAGTCTATGAGCAATTAAAGGTTCGTAGAGAATCAGTTGTTTCAGTGGTGATGCCCACGTGTAGTGTGACCTGGCTTCTGCCCTCCATCTCAGAGACCAAATCGGCCAACTTATTCTAGTTTATAAAGCAATCAGTAGGCCTGAAAAAAGACCTCAAGTTGATAACGCGTACGAGTGGTCTCTCTGTCACTTCCGTGGAACTGTACAGGAAATAGTTTGGGCTTGATCTTCAGTGTTGATTATTCCCTCCAAGCGTACTTGAGGAGTGCATGGTCTCCGTGAGAGGGCAGTGGTGGTTAGAGCGTTGGCAGTGTTCAAACAATGACTGGATGTTTTTGTGTGTTGCCTGTTTTCCCCAGGAATGCTGACTACCCGCTGACAATTCCCCTTGCTGCTGAGTTTTTTTCGCAATTGGGCCGATTGAAATGAATTGCATGCACGTCCAAAGAAAACTTCACTACTATAACTCTACCACTGAAAGCATACCACCTCATTAATTAGTGTGCATACGACGAGCTAGCGGGTAAAAAGGGTTCCCAAAGGAACTGCACCAAGAGATAGCGGCTGATACGCGCATTGAAAATTAATGCAAGGAATGGGCATTTACCAGACAGTGTCTTTTTCCAAGCACATGTGGTTGAAAATATGCTCAGTCGAAAGCCATGATGGTACCCGGTATCTGCTAATTATTCTTGCAATCTCACCTAAGTAGTCACTTCTCCCTTGAAATGGCATCAAAAAGTTTGTCCATTGTCTAACGAGTTTCCATACCTGTCATCTGTGCGAGTTAATCCGTGTTCTCCCTTGTTTCCAGCTGTACGCGTTTCCTGCTCCCCTTAGGCTGAGTTATGAAGTGTTCTTACAGCTTGGCAACTTCTCCCAACCTGGCAGATCGTATAATGTGAGCTAGATGGAGATCTTGAAACAGTTAAAAGATTGCAGGGTGTACGATATGATAGCGAGGTCTAACTGTCCCCAAAAAAGAAGCTCGAATTTGTACAGCGATAACTGCCTAGTGCGCAGGGATAAGGATTGCTGGGCCAAATCCGACTCCACTGTACTCCTATCTTGTTGCAAATAAAACTGCTAAGGCAATCGTGTGAAATTGCCACATACCTCAAAGTTCATGGAGATTGGGGAGCGTCCACTGCGCTGGGGCTTGTCTGATGACTGAAGAAGCTCAATTTCAGCGGACAATTGTGACTCTTTCATACCGGCAATCCTAGGCAACCTAAAATGAGTATTGTTAGGCAAGCACAATGTTGCTTATATGCCGTTGTAGCAATTTTGACACTACCGCCACGACGAAAACTTCGCAAAAATGAAAGAATATTATAGGGCGAAACCTTCCTGTTTTCTTTTGGTAACAACTGGTAGAGGTGGCTGCTTAAGACAGTAATAGTACAATCATGGCATTCATCATGACTGTCGTGTAGCAAAAATATTCAGTCCAAGTTAATGATATATATAGAGCGGCAGTTTACACATTCTCAGCGATAACCATCACTATCCGAAAGGCACGGTGTCGACGTACGCGTGGATTGGATGATAATGAGGCAGACTTGTGAGGCACCTTCATCCATACTTTCCACACCCATCATGACCAGACAAGGCCAAAACGATTGGGGATTGGTATGGCCGCAGCAGTTGATATGGCAGAACCTAAACCTACGACTGACGCGTGCGTATTGGCTCCACAAGCAGACGGGTCCTACTTCAACATCTCGGATCTCACAAAGGTTAAAATTATCATAAGTCCCACTAAGGAGCTATTTTGGTTCGATCCTCGGACTGTAAAAACCCTTGGCCCGTCATTTGGAAGCCTCTCCAGCCAAGTCTTTCAGAGCTTCATGGTGGTCTGAAGACCTCAGTCGAATGCGCGTGACACATTCGTTTGCTCTCCGTTTAACAGAAATGCAGCAGTACAGCCCGTTTTGGACGGCCTAACGCAAAGTTCGTCCGTCGCAATCGACGAATGCGACTTTCATCAGGTTTTATTTGCAGTTTGGATAGTGAGAGGCACGGAGTTGTGATCGAAAGTAAGGAGGACATGGCGCACTCAATATGCCTGTCTCAGTCCCAAGTGCGAGTTGACTGATGGGTAAGAGCCACCAAGAATGCAGTTATAGAAGGCAGCGAAGTGATTCAAGCAACCACTGAAAACAGTGTGCGCGGATTCAGGTCGCGCAGCTACACCGAACTCTCGATTCGCCGTTTCCCGTGACGAAGCCACAGACGCTGGGCGGGTGGGTGCGCCGTCCTGGTGTCCCCGTCGTTAGATCGAGTTCGTCAAGCAGAGATTCAGCAGCTTTCGAGGTTAGAACGTCTCGATCCGTTGTGACAGAATCGATCCAAGAGGTAAGGCCGATTGTATGATGTGCCGGGGCCCAAGAGTGGGCTAACAATGCTGGCGACGTCGTTCTTCGGCAGTGTCAACGAGGTTGTTGGCTGCTATGTGTTGGATGCGAAGGGGTGCCACAGGGTCAGTACAAGCACTGATTGTTTTGGTTATGGAAATTGCAACGGCACTGCCTACGGAAATGCGTCCTTTTTACCTATCCTCTACGAAAGATTCTCAGGACTTCAGATTGATTCCGAGAAACCCGATGGAGACAGAGGTGTCGAGAACTTCAGACAATTCTTAGTCCTCGGTGTCGCGGATCCGCTGCGGCCACTTCAGCTGAAATATAAGCGGCCGGACCTCTGCGTCTCGGTTTGATACTGTCCATGTCTCCGCACTGTATGGAAGCAGTCAGGGCGGCAGCCATGTACACGGTGAGTTCAAATTAAGTATTTTAGCTTGGCAAAAGGCCTGCTTGGTCTTAGAAATGCAGGCGGCCAACTCGTCGACTGTGGGGTTCTCCTCGACATGGGATGTATCCCATTACACAGGATTTATCTACAGTCGCGGAGCGATTTTAATCGTCAAATTCACTGTTACGCTGGTCTATGCGTGAACACTACCTTCGCCTTGTAGATGGTCAGTTCGAACTTGTTGCATCCGGAAACGAGAATACGCAGGCTCACCCGCAAGTTCGCCCCGGTTGTGGTGTTTGGTGCGCACAGTCCGTAAACAAATAGTTCCAATCATTTACAGACTGAAGCCAGGTGGCAAAAATAATTGACTAAAGAGGAATTATGGAAGGCTTACTTCCAGACAATGGCATTTTCCGTGGGCTTGTACTTGGCACGACCCTTCAAGCAGGCCACCTGAACACCGCTGGTATTTGTGGGTGTTGGAATGCGAACTTCCACCTTCTGCGCAAGCAGGCTGGCCTTGAAGTTGGCCTTAACGACTACCTTGATCTCCAGTTTGTGTTTGCCAATCTCCCGAACCAGAGGTATGATACGGAAGGGTAGAGTGATTTCCTTTAAAGTGTTGAATGTAAATTCAAATGGTTCGATTACCAAAAACGTTGTATGAAACTGGCATAAATAAACCGCAAAAGTAGCAAAACTGGAGTGATAATCTTAACACGTGCGTCCACAGGGTCGCAACTGTCCATGTCTCATTTGGACACACCAACCCTCTGCAAAGAGCAGCATAAGCCACTTGAACACCACCCCTCGAGAAATTAACACACACCACTTGGACACCACCCGAACTTGCCCCACAAGCCTACAAACGCAGCTGGCACTGTCTCAAAACCCGTCAGACAAGACTGGACGCTGTCGACACTGGTCCTGACTTCGCTAGTGGCCACTGCCACCTCAGAGGACAACTCAGAGTTCTGTGTACAATAAATCTCTCATCCTCGTGACTTCGGTCTTCCCCTTACAAATAGAGATCTGGCCTGATGATTGTAGCGTTCTGAGTACACTCCTACTGCTTAGACGCCACATCAGTAACCAATATGTGCTACCCTTATTTCGCCAGCTGCCTGGTCACTCATCAAAGAACGTTTTGAACAATTTTTTCTAGATGACCTTCTTCCACGCGAAATATTTTAAGATGTCTAGGAGTTGACTGCTATTATGCTAGGTGGAAGGCAAAAAAGTGTCAGTTTTAAAACTAAAGTGTTCACCTTAGTCGATAATAGCCATTGCGGCAATGGTTACTTTCTTTCCAGGGCCTGAGACCTCGGGTCCTCAAAATCTAGATGCTATATGGCAAACAATGGACGGCCATATAACACCTTCGATATAGGTATATAGATGCTTCAAAGAATAGATGGTAGGATGTCTTCAGATAACTTAAGGAACAGCCGCTGCTCTTCAGGTGAATGAAAAACAAGCTCCGCATTCATTTGCTGGTCGGACGAAAGGAGTGTGAATGTCTGCACCGGCGAATAATGAAATTCAGCTACCCACAGTATTCATGATAGAAAGTCATAGTTGTTTAAAGCAGTAAATTAGCTAAAGATGAATTCTATATAAAACAAACAATACACATGTCGGACTGCAAGTACACGAAGAAAATGCAATTTGTGCAAAGTCCCATGCTGCGAAAACGGGTTTATTACCCCAAGTAAAAATTGCTTAAACAAAAGATGCAAAACCACAATTACAGCAAACTCTAAGGACAACAATTCATCAAAAAATAAAACTCCTTTTTTCGATTTTTTTGAGAAAGCGGCTTTTGTCGTAGCATCTGCTGGGATACGTTTTAGTATGATCACTCTCGTTAATAGGTGTATGCAGGACAATTTCTACGACAACCAGCACGTCCTCCTTTCGGCCGTGCCGGAGGTGGAAAAATCGATCGTCCTCGGTGAATTCGATGTCCGCGTAGACATAGATCACGCTCCCCGAGAGGGAACGCAGGGTCATAATGGAGTCGACAGTTGCGAAGGCACTTGCGTCCCTGTAGTGGGCATGCAAAGAACACAATCTTATCACTAACGGCTACTGCCCTTCAACCTAGATGACAACGTGGATCCACTGCCGATCGCGTCACTGACAGCAGATTGACCATGTTCTCGACATAATGTGAGTGGAGCGTGATTTACTGATGACAAGGGTAATATGTGACGCAGGATTCTGGACGGAGGACCGCCTTGTCGTTTAGACTGCCATTTCAGTCCGCAGTTGGCGTTCTCATAGTGAGGGGACGCCAAGTCAAGTACCGTAAGAGTGGATCTTAGAAAACGCGTGAATCTCAATCTGGAGTGAATACAAGCTCTGGAACGGAAACTTCTTCCGGAAATTCTGCGAAACCACCATCGATACGGTTTTGTAGTCTGCCGGCTATAATAAATGCCAAGAAACTACGACCACGCCCCTTATTTTTCGGCATCGTGGACCGTGATGGACGAAGGGGAATCATGTTGAAATTCGGCTGCGCGGAACGGGTCACGCAGATTGTAAGGCAGCTACGCAGCGGGCTGATGGCACGTGTGACGGACAGTAGGTTAGGTATGAAGCACTAGTGGTGACAAATGAGATGAGACTAGGTTGTGTATCCGTTCGCATACTCCAATGAACCATGTTCTCAGTTGTGTTGATGGGCGCCCAGCTCGACAATTGAAGTGGAACCAACATCCACCACCAAACTGATGGACAGTTACTCAAAATCCGATGTATGCGGGCAGAAGCCAATATCAGAGACCAGTCCCTACGACCTCCTACATGCAGACGACGGCGATTTAACACCGGAAACCGGCAGCAGAGCACAGTTGTGGACAAATTCGCGTAAACGGGAAGTACCATCTCAAAAAATATAAAGGTGGAGGAGGAAATTGCAAGTCAGTCGGGCCTTCAGCAAGTTTCAACACCGTCTAGAACTGCTGCGGGATCCTCCTTAATACGAAATGAGAACGCATAAAGTTGTCACTCGAACTACGGTTCTTTACGAGGCAGCGACAGAAACAGAGTGTGGAGACTGGGCAAGAAAACCGGACCACTCTCACCTTATCCACCAACGGAGAATACAAGGGGGAGTGGGGAAAAGAAGAGGCCATGGTATCCCGATATTTGGAAAGATTGGCCGTGGTCAGTATGCATGCATTCTAAAGTAGACGTAACTGCAGTGGGACAGCCACGACGAGCGTCTATGTGACTATTGTATAATAACATCACTGTGGGCGTTCGTTTGGTAAGGCGGGCGAAAGCGACAATATAAGGAAATCCGCAAGACCTCAAGCATCTGCCTATCAAACAAGAGACTTGCAAAGGCCTGAGGCAGAATCGGCATAAGGGCGTATTGTCGCAAAACCTGAAGTGAAAGTCATCGAAACTGACCGAATACGGGACGCCATAGTAAAACGAGGGGCACGCAAGTCTCGAATCCAAGGATTAACGCAGTCAACACTCAAACTCAGTCAACACGTCCGCGTTTCCAAGTGCTATTAAGGCCACGGGATGGCCTTGTTGGACACCTTCAGATCCCGCGTAGTGTCAACAAGACCAATTGTGCTAGTGAAGTGACTTGGCCTCCATAGGTTCCTTGCTGTTTGGCCGGACCCAAAAATAAACAATCTCAACAGAACAAGTGTGACAGACTTTGACAACCAGGCAACCGACGCCGAACGATAAACATATTTGAAAATCGAGGATAGAAGTGTCAAAGAGAAAAGAGACACAAATGACTCACGCGAGTTTTACGGTAACGCATCAAGACAAACTCGCCATCGGGTGGAACAAAGGAAATAGCCTGGTCGGTACTGTACTTATTGAGTTTCACACATTGATGGAATTGGCAGTCATCAATCGCCACGCCCCCGTTAGTTTCGGGCGACCTAGTGCAGCGTTGTGGGGGGAGGAGGGTGGATAAAATTAGAAACAGACGAAACGAAGGTGTTAAATGCAAGATAATTCCGAAACGTCTTGTCTTGAACACTTAAGGTGGGATTTTGTTCAGTTTAACTTAAAGAGTTATGCTACAGTACGAGTACATTAGAACCCTGTACACAGAAATTGCCTCCTAATGAAGAGGTCGAGGGACTGTTCCAGCCTATTTCTGATCTGGCGATCGACAAGACGCTATCTGCCAGTTGGCAGAATGCCCGTTCGTTTAAATAAACGGGCTAAAGGCGGAGGCAGTGGTATCTTGTGCAGCTGGCGTTCAAGCAAATAAAAAAACCGATGAGACGCCTTAAAAACCCCTTCATGAATTTGCCGTAGAGGTTAAAATTGACGCAGAGTAGGAAGAGAACCTAATCTAAAACGACCAGCAGTCCTACACCGTCGACTGACGTGACCATCCTCGTTGATTCTTCAGCCTACACACTGACAGTCCGTACCCCTTGTGCACAGAGAATTACATTTTCGAGAGAAGACGATGCATGGAACAGAGACGGCAGTCTAATTGGCCAAAGATGCAAAATGAAAGAAAAAACACAAAATGGGAACTACGTATTTACCAATTTCCTTTTTCCTGTCGCATAGGTTTGGTAAGTCAGTGCTAATTCTCAGGATTACAGATACATTAAATAGGACAATTTTGTGCTACGGGGCGAAAGCAAACGCATTCAAGGCAATATGGTTGGACTAACAAGAGTTAAACATCGGGCACCAACTTAAGTCTCCTCAGATTCAAATACTAAGAACGATCGGCATCGATACAGAACTCCCGTCAAACTGAGGCAAGTCTAGGCCAAACAAAGCTAGTACTTTTAAACACTAAGGAAATCCGCCGATCGACCGATAGCTCAAGTCCCGCCACCCGTAAGAAGCCCGTTGCGATATCTATAAGGACGATGACGGTAAGAGAGGCTGGTGGTGGTGGTGGTGGTGGTGGTGGCGGCGGCGGCGGCGGCGGCGGTGGTGGTGGTGGTGGTGGTAGTGGCCGTAGTAGTAGTAGCAGCAGCAGCAGCAGCAGCAGCAGTGGGAGGGGAGAGCGTCTCACTAGACCGATATAATCTCTAGGTACCTCGCGCAACTTTAGCGAGATATAAATAATTCTAGCAGTAGCGATCTTGAACCGCCACATCTCGCAGCCCCAGACCCCGCAGCAATGGGCATAATGAGCACCATAACGAGATATATGGGCCCAAGAGCGAAGGCAGACTAAAGGAGATCAAGCCTTCGTCGTGACCGACGTGCGAGAGGTCAGAAAGATCTTTTCAGAAGAGTTTACCGAGAGGTGCAAGTCTGGTCTCTGTTGAGAATTTGCGGAGCATGACCAACCCTGTGTTGGATTCCATTGTTCGCCGTGTTTGCAGGCACAGAGGGCTGAGGCGCTTGAATAATGAAGATCGAGTTAACAATATGTAAATCTACCTTCACCTAACGTCATGCGGTTTAGTGTATTTAAGTCGTATCCACGCATGATTCACGGTTGGGCGTGTGAATCCTGCTCAAGTTTCGCACAAACCGAAATATTATGAGCGAGAAGAACCTACCATCCATAAGAAACCGACAGACGTAAGAAGAATCTTTTTGAAAAAGCTTAAGAACTCACAAGTCGTCTCCGGTTGTGGCGACTGGCTTGGGTCGGTTGTCCAAACTAATCTTGTCATTGAAGCCGAATTTGCAATCGGGCATCCCGCTGAGGTAGCATTTCATTACTACCTTTCCAACAACGTGAGCAGACAGGATCTGCCCTGAAAGAAGAAAGTTGGGAAACCGCTCAGATCTCTCTGAGAATTATTCTAAACTTTTAGACGTAGACGACAGTGGAATACCATAGGTTAACCAACTAAGCTGTATAGGCAAGCTTTGTCTGTTGTTTGTGAGATAGAAGTAGAGTATTACATTTGGCCTTATTGCGGAAAACAGGATCCGATGCTGACAGGCTCTGGTTACGGTTACCTGAACCGCACACTCAATTCTCGGGAAATACCGGTTTAGATAAATCAAGAGGTGGCTTCGGTTAAAGACATAATTTTGTGGGTAGATTTGCCGTGTTTCACACTCTTCGCCCCAACTTCCGTAACTTTCGAAAGCTGACACTGCGAACTTCTCGGGTCACTGGCAGATCTGCATTAAAAGCAATTCTCCTCTACATGTAGTAGCAGAAGTGGTATCACATCGTGTCGGGTGGTAATAGTGAAAATAAGTGCAAAGACATCCATCCATACTAAAAGCGCTGTGAAACACTATTGGCCAGAATGTAGTTGGAAATTCGCGGCAAAAGCCATGACAAGGAAACAAAGTTACGGGAAATAACAAGATCTAAATCATAAAAGTAGTGTGAATGAGGGTGTCCTAGGTATTGATAGGTGTACATCGATGTTTGCTCTTCAAACATGAGATGGTACCAGCAAAACTCGAAGCAAAGATTCATGCACAAGCAAAAGTTCGACATATCACCAACAACAGCATAAAGCCGACGGACCGGCATAGTAGTTCGACCCTTCCTGAAGGACATCTGCTTCCGGTGCTTGGAGACCACGTACAGCATTGCTACATTCAGAAATCTCGGACAGATTCTCATTCACTGCTTTAGTCGTCAAAAGACTGGGCATACGCTTAGTAAGGCAGAATAAACTATTCTAACGTAACGCCCAATGACACTTCAATCGTAACTAACGACGACGACCATCACATGCCTTACAGAGTTAGTGTGGCAGTCGTGACTTACGCGTAAACTAGCTTATTAGTGAGGCACCTACCGCATCTTCTTCCCCTTCACCCACCTTTCTCCGCGTTCGATTCCGTTCATCGTGAGTCCCCGTGGCGTATAATGGCGCTAGACGGTGTACCGCCAAAAATCGTCGCCATGATCAAGGCCTATTATCGCTCCACTACTGCGAGAGTCCTGGTCCGCAACAATCTTTCCCAACTGTTCGATATTCGGTCTGGCGCTTGACAGGGTTGTATCCTGTCGCCCATACTGTTCAACTACGCTATTGACTAAATCCTCGGGAGGGCCCTAGGCGAGAGTGACGGCGTTGAGTTTGCATCCGGACATCGACTGACTGATCTCGACTATGCCGATGATATCGCCTTACTTGCTTCAAGTTTTGCTGATCTGCAGTCTATGGTGTCATGGGTGAACGAGGTCGCTAAATCGGTCGGTTTGTTCATAAACACTGGGAAGACCAAAGTGTTTTCAAGCTGCATTCCTGACCAGGAAAAGGTACCCCTCGGGATTGATGGCTGTCAACCTGAAGTAGACGGTTTTAAATACCTCGGGGCAAGGCTGCTGCCTAATGGATAGGGTAAGGACGACATTGTCTCCCGAATCGATGCAGCCCGCTGGGTTTTCTCAAGCCTTCGGAAATGCCTATGGATCCGACGCGACCTCTCCATCGCCACTAAGATTCGCGTGTACCGTGCATCTGTCCGGTCTGTCCCTCTCTACGGATGTGAATGCTGGGTTTTGCGCGTGGAGGACGAGCGAAAACTGGAGGTATTTGACCACCACTGCTTGAGGACCATCTTTCGAGTGAAGTACTCCGACCTCGTCTCAAATGAGACAGTCCGCGCTCGCTGCGGTAACATCGCAAGGATAACCCAGGCCATCCAAGAGAGACGACTGAGGTGGTTCGTGCATGTCGTTCGTCGTCCTCCTCAGGAGCTCCATGTTACTGCCCTTGATCCGGCACCGTTGCCCCATTGGAGGCTTCAAAGAGGGGGTCAGTTCAAACCCTGGCTCGACACAGTTCGTCAAGACATAGAGATGGTTCTTGGACCTTCGGTATTCGGTCTCCGTCGTTGGCGAAGAGAGTGGGTTGAGCTGTCTAGATCTGCTGCCGCGGATCGTCACGCGTGGAGAGGTACAGTCATCGAGGCCGGCTACATCGGGCATGATCGCAGCCGTATCAAGCACAAGTACAAGATGACAAGATAATGCAGAGACGACCGGAGGCGAGCGCCGTGACTGACAACGCTAAACAGCCTGCCCGCGCGTACCACACACGACCTGGTGCCTGTAGAATGCACTTGGATTCCGTAAGGACGGCTCGGATCTCATGCCAGTGAGAAGGAGCCAATACAGCCTGATTCTCAGTTCGCGGACGGACTGAGTTATCCATTCTGTTGGCAGCGTCCCAATCCATGAATTTTGGCGCGTCGTAATAGATACAAGCGCGTCATATTTACTACAGTGAGGGATGCGCTGATTTGACAGGAAATTGGATTTCCCAGCGTTGGTTCCACTCTCCCCTCTCGTATGCGCCAGTAGACTATCCGAGCCTGTCAACAGTGTGGCACTAGGATTGAGCGCGGTGGCTGACGCGGCGTGAAGGCCTATATTTAAGGCATGCAACACCGTCCCTCCCACGTACGGCAGTAGTTATGGGCAAGCACGGACTCTACGCGGACTGACAGATGTAAACCGCTATCCAATGTGGCTTCGTTTGCAGCGCAACCCGTTGTGAGGAAGTTGTAACAACGAACATGAATATTAATGGCATGATCATGGAGAGAAGTCGAAGTTGACAAAAATAACTCAGCAGCTCCGAAACTATCAGTTTTGTTAACTGCATAGGTGCGCATCGGTTATAAGTACGGCAATTCGGCAGCACCGTAAATAAATGTTGTCGACTGATCGACTTTCTATAGCGAGAGCTATACTAAAATATAAGGGAATAGAGGACTTCAGAGCAATACATGATATTTACCCTGGAAGTAGATCTTGCTCTCGCTTTAAAATATATATATTTCATGTCCAGTTGACAGTTAATTCCCGCATCTGTGTAGAACCCTTGATGGTGTTGATATGCGATCTGGTAAAAGCGAAATGAGCTACGAAAATTGACAAAGTAAATTGGAGGAGCGAACAAGTTCCACCGCATTCGATAAGACCCAACAAGTACACGGCAGATGAGTCAGGCATTTAACATCTACTGCGTAGGACGAGGCAACAGTACCCTTCACGAGTAGAAAAGGAGCACAAAAGGCACAGGTCATGACTGAGGCAGCCTTAGTGAGCTGAAAGACAATTGCGATTCATGCTATCTTGGCCCAACAGAGCATCACATAGGTTACAACTTGAGGTGCGACTTGAATGTGATGACGTCTATGGTAGTGCAAGCCAACGCGGAGCGAAAGAACGCAGTAAAGGTGACATAAACACTAAAAAGACGTGTAACAAGAACTATTCACAACAGCAAAAAGGTTTAATGGTATCACTAAGATAATGCATAGACGCTTTGATAGAAAGACATGCTGACAAAACTTACCCTGCGGAGACATGAGTAAATTCACTGACTCCGTAATATCCAAAAACAGCTCATTACGGCGATACTTTATTCCTTCGCGACGCCAACTTATCTGCCCAGTGACTTGATTAGTAATTTGAGTTGTTTCTTCCTTCGTCGCAGAGCGGATGGCCGCCTGTGTGATAAGATTACGCAAAACACCTGTATCGGTATTCTGGGCGTAGCCATAATCTACGGCTTCTGATGGGGAACAGATTGAGGGAGGGGAGAGACAGACGTACCATCCAAGAGTTCGTAAATTAGGACGAAATTATTCTTGATGTTTTCTTCTGTTACTCGTCCCAGGTGTTGTTGGAAGACGTTTAGGATGGCGTGTAACAACTCAAAAACTGCAGCCGCATTAAGGTTTCTCCGGCTTACGGCACAAAGCCAGATGTTACCACGCTTAACGTGGAAGAAACTGGTTCGCGCGATATTTATTATGGGCGAGCGCACCTGAGAAGCAAAACGAGACATGTAAGCTTCAGCACGGTCATTTAAAAGCACAGTACGAAAGAGAAAGGGAAGGAAACGAACGATGCGTGCAGACTTCACGACGTATGAGGAGACACTTACAAAGTACAAAAGATGCAAACTCAGTATGTCGTTAATTGCGACTTATCTGCCTAGTCCTCTGTATTCCAAAGTACGCGTGGGCTAGACCGCACGGTAAGTTCACTACTATCTATAAATACTCGATAAACGTAATAACAGGCCAGTACATGCCCTCACGTGTAAGCTGTGCACCAAACTGTAGACCTCATGAAAGTGCTAACGCAAACGTAAGACTTATTTGGGGAGAGTCAAATTAGGTAAACAAATTAATGTGGATGTGCTAGAGTAGAAAGGAAGAAGGATGTAGAAGCGGTGCACGACAAATAGCCTTATTCCTGCCCCGCGACTCCGAAGACGCAGTAAAAGTTCATACGGGGGCGATTCTCCGTAGATTTTAATGCAGTAACGTACTTGTCCATTTTCGTCTCCTAACTCCATCAAAGGTCTTTGCAGGCAGCGGCGTAGCAACATGCAGTGCAGGTAAAGGAAATAACAAAAACGAAGAAAACTGGGCTGGTGACTCCTGCTTGACTAGCCATCGTCAGCAAGCCAGACAACTTATACTACTTTTCAGTACACCAGCCCCTGCAATTACTCTTGATAGAACTTAAAATAGAACCGGGACAGGCATAATCGTCCGCACAGTCAAAGTGGTACGGTGTTACATTTCTATGAGATAATATCCCCGATCACAACCAACAAGCGGCAAGCCCACAGTTTATCAGTGGAACACCCAACCGGAAAGTCGGGATCGAAACTCCGGGTTTTTCGGAGTTGGAGTTCGGTCGGGCTGGCTAACGGTTACTACTGGATCAGAAATGGCCGTTCTAGTCCCTCTTGCTTCCTTTAGTATCCCCTCTGGAATTAGGGGATGTTCAAGTGGTGAGAAATAGTTGAAAAAACGAAGACAGGCATAAAGAACACTGACAAAGGAAATTCAACAATAAGTACACTTTCAAATAAAACAGGCATCTGATATTCTGCAACGAACAACATGTTATCTGCTACGGTTTAAGCGGCAGCGAAAACGGTTAGTCCTCATAACAGTGGGGGCAGAGACTTACCTGATGTCTGGAATGTATAACATGCACCCTAAATATATCGACAGATGTCCTTGGGATTTCGTCACGAAAAATTCGTTGAATTAGAACCTCCCCTTTATGATTGTAAATAAAAAGAGCCCCAATCATTTTTAGTGCAGTGGGGCGACGCACCTACTCGTTAACCGCAATTTGGTCAGTTACTCAAGGTACTCAACTTCAGTGACGTATGAGCACTCGTATATGAAATGCATAGACTCATGACTGTTACGCACTGTAGGAGCCAGAAGGGCAGTTTCCTTCTAGAGGGAAAGAAAAAGGGCAAGTGGGAAAAGAAGATTGGAGAGGTGGTTGCGGGAATTGGGAGTGGTTTTTCTTCTTTAATATTTGTAAAATTGGTTTATTACAACACCTCTTGGACACTGTCAGTCTCCTTTGAACATAGAATTTAGACTAAGTACGGCGAACTGTTTCTGAGCACGAGGCAAAAACCGATAGATATCGTTCCGCCGAAACCTCAACTCTGATCTCCGAGTGTTTTCCCCTTGGTCCCCTCCAGTCATAAGAATTCGTGTGCGCTAATTGGCGCCTCCGGTTTCACCTTCCTCCATCTCCATTTGTTCCCTAATAAGTCGTCCACTTTTGTACCTTCTTTAATTATCGAGGATTTATCTTTCTGTTTGAGATAGTTTTTGTCCGTGAGAGGCCGACAGCGAAAACTACCTCCTTAGGAAAGAAGAAGCCATCCACTTCTCCACCCCCATCTCATCAAGACAAAGGACATTGTCTCACAGCCGATCCCTCCGACGGATCAGCAGGGCGGTTCGCCTAGTACAGCACCACAAAACCGGATACCTTTTTTGAGTGGAGTGAAGGACCGTACAAAGGAGCAGACCCAGGATGGGGACGGTGTGATCGAATGTCAATCAAAATGCGGGTGCCCCTTTCGTTCTGGATCACTCACCTCCACTCCCGCAGCTACAGTATTCGCAGATCGCCTCGTCCTCTCACCCACAGTCAGTATTTCCACTTCCTGCCCCCGCTGCTGTGTCCAGCACTGTACTGCCGGCCGGCGATTTAAAAGACCCAACAGAACGCCACATTTTCAGATGGAACTACTGTACATGTATTTTTTTACTTTATATCTCACCTTTATGATTCATTTAAATAGTCTTTACTACAAGAATAGTCTCCATATGTTCCTGCTGCTTTTTCATGACCTCTGCATATGTGCGTTAAAGGTCATGCTCACCAATTCTGTTCAGCAATCCCACTAGCTGGAAGCGACCTCATGTGCTTACGTATCCCTGTTTGTGTCCGAACCTCAACGTTGTCGATCGCTACAGGACCTCAGAGACAACTACCAGACTGCAAAATTCCGCAATAGTAAACAACACCTCAAACAGGGCTTGAGACCCATTGAAAACTGTTGAAAGAGGTCGACAATAAGTCATAGATTCGAAGGTACTCAGTATAGCGGCCAACTACCAAAAACAAGGCCGATCTCTTCGAGTAAAAAGGAATCGCCGAAAAATAACACTGAGAATAGCCATAAGTATCTGCAAGCAGTCTGTCGCACTATGTCAGGAATAAAGGACAAAATGGCTCAGGAGACTCCCTAAAGCTGCAAGCTCCATTCAGTAAGGTGGTCAGGATCGGAAACATGAAGTGTGTTGGCAGATCAGGGACTCCAAATATCTAGTCTTTTACTTGCGATGACGTATTAAAACTTGCTTCCGGAGACAGCTGGTCACCCAGAACCAGTACTGATTGGTCAAACTTTCCATTATGTACCGATCAACCCCACTGCACGCTCTCAAATGCATTTATTGTTAGTTATGAGTAGGCAGAACTTAAACAGATGCTTGGTCACAAGAACGCACATACATAGGATTCCAAGGAAATCTGGATACCGGCAATAAACACTATACACAAGGTCAACCAATAGCACTCGTATCACTTCTAGGAGAAGTCAGGGAACCATTTAACATAAAATGTTAACGCAGTTTTAGTTTAAGTATCGGTAAGGGAAATTGACACGGTCTTAATTAGAATGTTATTCCATAGAAGTATACAAATAAATCATTTTAATCAAAGAACCTTGGGGGCTCCGTCATAGAAAGTAAATATAAATCTTCAAGTAAATTCTAGAAAAAGTGGACAGATTCAGTACGTTATTCAGATTTCGGTTTTATACTAAACAGTTACACATAAAAACAGTCAGTAAGCAGTGAAAAACGCCTTATGAAAAAAAAACTAGATGGGTATGAATTGGTTAACTTTTAGGGAGAAAACGGTGACGCTCAAGAAAGGGAAAGTATGCGGGGTCGGACGAAACTGGCCTGCATATGGTATTTTATAGGGGATTCCAAACGTAAATCGTCAAGGCAGAGCTTCCTAAACCAAATGAAGATATCTGCCTCAAAGTGGCAAGACAGAGGAGCCTAGACGCGATCGGACACACACCGCTTAGGGTCCAACCGCGGATGGGACATTAAATGCTAGGTCAATCATCAAAATATACGTTTAGAAATGAGGAAGAGGGGGTATTTACACGTAGATCATAATGTCGGAGAGTGATCGAGGAAGAGTTTTGCCTTTGCGGAAGCGATCCACTGGCATAAGAACGTTAAGACGTTTAAAATGTGGTTTGAAATTAATGCAAAACGCGAAACAAAAACTAACTTGAAACCTTTTTTCCTATAAGGACTATGGACTACTAAGAAAACGTCGATTCAGTATGAGAGGAAACCTTTCGAACAAGGGCTTCTGTACCCTTTCTTCTTGTAAAGCCATTGCTCATCTAAACACAACAATAATCTGAACCCATTTCTTTTTTATTGCAGCCATAGGCGCTCATTAGAGCAAATGAAGGACAGCATTGCAATAATTATAATGATGATAGCATTTAATGCCAATTTACAGGAATTGACAAAGAAAGATAAAGTACGGATCGGACTAACGGGAAAAAACTCTTTGTGACTATATACAGAGGATGGTGTTGCTGCAGTTTGGATGGTTCAGGAGAAAATACCTTCTGCCCACGAACTGACGGTAGCCCAGAAAGGAATGGCCAACACGGCTTCGGATAACGTCAGTCTAATTTCCTCCACATGTAACTGGTACTGGACCGAAAAGAGGCATTGAAAAGCCGTTGTTCGCGGGCGGCTGAAAAAATATCCGTGGTGAGACCGGCTAGGGGAATCAGAGACCGCAAACTCCATCACTACGCTGGATTAAATCGGTGGATTCGGCATCCAAAATGTGTGGGAGATTTTCTGACTGCAAAAACGGGTACTCGTTCTCTTAAATGAAGAATCATTTTGCAGAATTTTCACATTTCTGGGCAATCTGATCAAATTGCAATTGCGTTCACAGGAAAAAACCGCCGATATTTAATAGAAAGTGCCAGAAGAAGAAATGAAAAGACCTCACGGTGACTCTAACGTTTGGGGTGGACATGATGTTCTAAAGTAGCAAGCGGGTTAAAAGCATGATTGTTTAAGATCTTAAGGAGTAAAAATAGTCCCTTTTGTAACCGACGGAACTATTAAGGATCAAGGCCTGAAAGATCGCAACGTTCCTGGTAGGTCAAGTATTTGCGGCCCAAGGTCAGAACCTTCTTAGTAAAAAAAAGTTTCACTAATTTTATTTTCTTCCGCTCAGCAGCACGTATGAAGCTAATTAAAAACGAATAGAATTCCAAGCCAAGTCTGCCGTACATCTTTTAAAGGCGCACTTTAATATCGCTGGTTTTAAATGTTTGGTGTATAAACATGGTCGCTCTGCGTGCTTTGGAGACTATAAGAATGCAGTGCTCAGAAAGATTAAGACTCTGAGAGTATGATACACTCAGATCCTTAGTAAATTCAGGCACATTTATGTCGCGACCGTCAATACTAAGTTGGCTTTCGTGATCATCTCCGACAATGTGATCGCTTCACAATACAACATCAAAAATAAGGAATCACTTCTGTCCACTGTAAAGCAGTACAGAAGGGTTGTGTATAACAAAGTGTTTTACAAAGCTGGCTGTGGACATTCATGCTGTGAGAGTCAATCTTTGTCGAAAATCACGCGAGTAAGGTTCTCTTTAAACGCGCAAATTGCGTAGGTTGTCACCATCTCACTTGGTATGAAGTTCATGGTCAGACAACCTGATGAATAAACGGAAACTCCTTACTTCCTAGCCGCGTGCGTTCGCTCTTCACTTTGTACGGCTGGTCAGAGCCAGAGTCAGAGGATGCGTTAAACTCGCAAAAAAACTTAGATCGACTGCAACAGTTGTCTGATGAATGGCTTCTCAATCGCAATTTTAAAAAATGTTAATTCATCCGACTAAGTTCTAGTTACAGAAAGGATTCGGGATCTGAATATTACTACTTCCTCGTCAGTCAAGAACTCGAGTTTGCAAAGGAGGTAAAGGACCTCGGTGTCTGGATAACGTCCACTCTCAAACCCTCGTCTCACCGCGCCAAGATGGCAGTTTGATGGAACTTTGTTCTTTGAATAAATCATTTTATTTATTTTAGCCCAGGTCATCGCCTAAGTCGTCGACAGTCTAACTGAAATTACTCATGTACCTTGTGCTGGAATGTATGTATTGGCCGTTTTATTTCCGAACACTCGACTTCTGGGCTTGGAGAAGTGTCTGCCTGGCATCTAACGGTGGATCAAGTGGAAACCGTCACTTATATAGTTACAGCCCCTGGTTTTTAATTGTTTACTAAATTCACTGTTATTACTTCCCCCCGCAGCGGCGATTTTCGCGGTTTTTGTTGTCTTACCCTCAGTCGGACTCCATGCGGTCTGTCGACGCTTACGGCGGAATCTTCTATATTCGCCATCTATCACTAGTTTGGCCGGACATCAAGGAGTTCCCGTGGTAGTGTCTCCCTTGCGCTCTCCTCGGTTGGACTTGAAGTGGACCGTGACCGATCGCGCCTGGGTTCCTCTTGTCTCGCCAATTTAACGCGAATACCCTCATCCGGTGTGTGAATTCCGCCTTGACTATGTCCGTAACGAGTCTCTTACACACTACCACATGCAGGCAAGTTCTGACTCACCCGCATACGTACCCCTCAGTGTTGACATTTATTTCTGCCCTGACGGTGTCCGATTATAATCCGTTATACACCACCACATGCAGGCCTGTCCTGTCCGGCCCACATACTTACACCTTTAGCAGCGATAGTTCTTTTGTCCTGTTGATGTCAGCTTGAAATCCGTAAAGCACTAGTACATGCAGGCCGCATTCTTATCCTTTTATGAGTGACATTTTTTCCCCTTTACTGTTAACCCAATCACATTACTTTTGTTTATAGGAAAAAGGGGTTTTCGCTGCTCGCTTATAATTTTTCTGGCCAAAATGCTTACTCAATGAGCGTGAGTTGAATAATGTGGAGATTCTGTCCACCGGTTCTAAAAGCCACATAAAAATCCATTTTACTTGCTATGATATGACCCTCAAATGTCTTTAATATAAAATTTATTATTATTATTACGAAGTATGCTAAACTGTCTTCGAAGATGCCATTCTTCACTCTCCGCGAAAACATTGTCAGGATTCTCAGAAAATCCAAGAAAAGTGGTTGAGGTGGTTTGGACAAGTTATTTGCTCGCTCGCCCCATGAACTCAGTCAATACCTCTAGTCCCAATCCGTTGCGCACTTGTAGGTTTCGGAGAGGAGGTCAAGTGAAAAACTGGAGCTAAGCTATTCTCCGAGAAATGAAAGTGCTTCTTCGACCTTCAGCCCTCGCGCGCCATCGCTGAAGGAGAATGGATTTAGTTCTTCAGATCCGCTTCAATGGCGCGTCAGGCGTCGGTAGTTTTAACTTGCGACAGCATCAGGGCCCGTTGGATCATCCATGATCAGAGCCGTACCGAGTATTTGTAATTTCGAAAATCTCGAGTCGCTGAAGGAGTTCATAAAGGAGCCATATTTCTTCTTTCCACCTCTGTAGTTTATAGGTCCATTGCCAATACCTTTAAAAAATACCATCTCCTAGAATGATGCCTGTTTGCCTAATCTTTGTCAATAACACGTCCTTTCTGTAATCGATAACGGACATAAATCCGGCCGGGAAGACTCGTCTCTCTGTAAATTTAAAACACTACTGACATTATTCGTCGAAGTGTTCCATTGGCCTGCATTAAACCGGATATTTTGCAGATGAGAAGGCGCACTGGTGTCATATAAATGAATAAATTGTCTCACTTAGCACACATAAGTGTATCTTCATGATCAGTAAAACTATGTTTCCGAGCAAATTTTTGAAAAATTGGGCAAACACTGTAAAGCGCTCGGTCTGTGCTTATAAAATAGGCAGTCTTACATGGAAAGCGGGTTGGTAATGCTGAAATCTTCCTTACATTTGGTTAAAAATGACAAAATGGATGTGATTTAAATAGGCTTTACGGAGAAAAGACTTTCGTTCATATGGTGTTAAGATGCACGTGGATCAGGACCGTCCTGCGGGCGAGAGTTTATAAGGGCTAGAAACGTTCTTCGTCAAGGTACAATTCTTAAATCGGATAAAGCTCGTCGCTGAAGATGAGATCATTATAATTTTGGGATGACAGCAGAGACAACAGTCAAGGTGGTAAGACAGGGGGAATCCGCCGCAGTCGCAGTCCGCTTCAAGTCCGAACGGGGAGGGGAGCATGAGGGCTGCAAGAATCATCAAAGCGCAGGGAGATGCGACCATGTTATTTATTTGCTGGTCGACCAAACTACTGACAGGTGACGAAAACGGTGAAATACGCTGCGATCGTCATTAGATCGCTTGGGGTCAAAATAAGGAGACGATACTAAAAGCTGCCAAAAGCATCGCTGAAGGGGGGAAGGTGAGTAATAGTAGCAAATTTAGCAGCCAGTCAAAAATAAGAGGTTGTAAAAATCTAAGCGTGAGTTTCCATTTGAATAAGAAAGCCTGTATTATCCGCCATTAAATCTCAGGAAGTCCTTTTTCAAGGTATAAGAAACAGGCATCAAATTTCACTAATAAAGACCACCGATGGCGTTGAAATTGCTAATGGTAAGGATAAGACGTCATAAGTAATGCTCTCTATTCAGAATATCGTACCAGAAGAGAACTAGAGGCGTTAAACGAATCGAAGCCTTTATAACCAGACAAGCATCCCTCCAAGCTCCCAGAAAAGGACTCGCCAGTGAGCTTTCCACATCTCTGCTGATGCTGTTTCAGGGGTAATTTAGAGCCGGAATAAATCCCGATGATTGGCTGCTGGCGCATATAACTCCTCTGCACAAAGATAGTGGCAGGTCGTCGACGACACACTACAGACCTATAAGCCTGGCATCTGTTCTCAGCGAAGTTTTGTTGAGGATCCTGAAGAGCAAATTAATGAACTTCCTAGAAATCGATAATTTGCTAACGAAATGCCCAAGCGGGCCCCGGAAAGTAAGGTGCCGGGCGAAAAACTTGCTGCAATATTGTCAGAGCTGGACCCGAGCTCCCGACAATAGCCACGCGGCTTACATAGCTTTTATTAACATTCAAAAGGCGTTTGACAATGTGCCAAACCAGGGACTCTTATGTAAACAAGAGATGATAGGTATCAAAGGAAAGATTCGACAGATGGGTCGAAAAATTCCTTGTAGGTCGGTACCATGTGGTGCGCATCAAGCAAGAGAAATCGGATCATGCTGCCGACGAGAATGGTGTTATCTAGGGTTGAGTACTTGGACCAATTTTATTCCTCTATTATGTTGATGATTGTGCAAAAGATGTGGACTGCGAAGAAGCAGTGTTTGCTAACGACATGAAAATGTGCAGTGTAAGCCAGGGCCCTGTCGAAGAAGACACACAGCATATGAGCCTAACGCCGTTGCAGGAATGGTCGAACCGTTGGTTCATGCTGTTCAACGTCGGTAAGTGTGCCATATTTCGCCAAGGCAAATCAGCCAAATCCGGCAGCACAATAAATTACTTTCCCGACGGTGCAATTTCACGAGACACATCGGCGTGCTGACAACGAAAATCTCAAAATTATCCAGTCGACGTTCGAAAGTGACAAAATGCGCAATGTCCGTACTGTACGTCATCAACTGGGTATTCATGGATTTTGATGATGACGTCTTCTGTAAGATCCTCGTCGCATTCGTGCGGTCGCATTCGGAATGCGACAAACAATCCTGGAGGACATGGGCGGATCAAGATGAAAGTAACCTCGAAGGAGTCTGGAGGAGGGCAATGAAAATTGTTAGCGGTCAGGCCTCCTTTCCTAGTGCAAGTTTCTTAACAAATCCGATCCTCTATCTTTCGATATATAGTTAACTGCGGTGGGATGTCTTACAAGCTCTTCGCATTGTTAAGGTATAAATTGCAGCCTGACCTTTGATGACTTTTTGAGTTCGCTACCACGACCAATTTCCGAGGTTACTCGTTAAAACTGCCCACTAAGCAGGCAAGGCTGAATGTGCGGAATTTCTACTATTTGGCAGAGTGGCAAAGCCATGGAATGCCCCCCACTCACATGTTGTGATGTCAGGATCGATAGAAAGCTCTAAAAGTATCCTTAACATAGTTCAGTTCCAAAATTAGCAGTAACGACAAGAGGCCAAGCTCAGTCCCCGAGACTTTCGCTTACGTTGTCATACTAATAATGGCCCATTTGAATTGTTTCCACCCACCTGTTTTCTCTGTGTACCTCACCCTATTTTGCTTTGTAAATAACGTACTCAATTGCTCACGACTCTTTCCCTGAATGAACTGAACTACATTAAACTAAAATACGCAACCAGCCTAGTTCACCTATATCCATTTTCTTCACGAAAAAAAGCGCTGGAGTCTCTTTCAAGCTTTTTACATTGTGATGGGATTGGATTTCAGCCTGGCTTTGGACTAATTCTTCGAATTCGCCATGATCATCAGTCCCCAAGGCCTCCTATTAAAACTACGCTTTCGGCAGGCAAGGCTGGATATGCAGTAATTCTTCTCTGTTAGAATGTTCAATCTATGGAATGTTTTTGTGTATGTTATGGCGTCGCTATCGCAGAAAACTTTATAAGGGACCTTAACGACTTTCTGTTCCAAGATCTGCTCAGACGATGAAGGTTTTAAATCATCCCTGGAGGTTCGCGCTCAACTCTTCACTTTTAATAGTTAACTCTGAACTATTCCAACCCACATGATTTCTCTGTAGACTTCGCTCAGTCTTACGTTACGAATAGGATACCGAATGACTCTCGGCAAATTTCCATCAATAAATAAAACTAAAATGATTTTGGTTGAGTCAATCGAAGTTCATTTAGTGCCGGGTTGCTATCGAACTATTAAAGAGCGCCCCAATTATGAGGTTCTTATTGGAAGCTTATTATGGGTTTGGGAGACTTGTACGTTCTTCCAGAAACTCAAACTAATTACAACATATCTATGGCCTCGGAATTACTGATGAATGTAGAGTCCGAGTTCCCGTGTACCCGAAAGCCTCACCGCCGTAGCCGCTTTGGTGTGCAGGACTTCTGGTCGCTGTCTTTGTCACTTCCAGGACAATGGCGCGTTCGCGCAGTCGTTCGTCGTCTGAAAGAAGACGATCTCGACGAAAGAGATATCATAGTTCATCCAGAGATCGTTATAAAGATCGCGACCACAGTCACTCCAGAGAAAAGGATAGAGAGAGACGCAGCCGTATCAATGACCGATCTTACCGCACAAGCCATAAATCAGACCGCCGCCGAAAGTATTCTTTTCTCTCCAGATTTACATTCTAGTCGTGTGAGTTCATCCTCCTCAGACAGCGCTTCGGGGAAACGTTCCAAAAAGTCACACATACGTGACATTGATAAAAAGATTCGCGAGGCACGTAAGAAAGAGGAAAGCGAAAGGCGAGCACAAGAACAGCGGGAAAGGTAGGGACAATATCATGTGTGGAACACCTGTTGTCAACCATATAATTTCGACTTGCTCTGATTAAACCTCGTACTAAAGCATACCGGTGTGCTTCGCAAATGAAATGGCCATTTCATTTGCGAATAGGCCGTATTCTTTCCCCTTTATTTTCCGTCTCCGGCATTGCCAGTAACACCGAGCATAATAATAATTTCTGGTGCCTGTGGGCTGTTGTCTTTGCCACCATGCCTACAAACCACGTCTTCATATTTGGTTCATGCACTACCTCTCCCCGAGTTTCGTGGATTGGCCTATCAGTGCTCCTCCAGAGTCTTTCAAGTGCTACATGTCCAATATAAGCTTCGTGATCTGTTATGTCCACAACTATAGTCTCATTCTATCATGTTTCTGTGTACTTGCCTTGGGTGAATAACCGAAACTGTGCCACTTCCCCTCCAAGTCTGGTGTAAAACCCATTTTTATACGTCTCCAGCTATTTGAGGCCTTGAAAAAGAAAATTAATAGGCTCGAACATTCCTTAAATTGCTCTTAGGAGAAGTTGACTTTGATCCGAGTGTATTTTCGCACTGTTTTCTGATTATTAATCACGTAGACGCTTAGATAAAGGCTTTGTTTTATCTTTTTCTAGATTGTCCTCGTACTGAAGTTAAGCATCATACACAGTTCTCTGTTTATTCTAAGTTGTCGCCTTTCTCAACGCGACCTTAAGGCCTCGTACTTTCGCCATTTTCACCCTCGTAGGATTGAATTTTGCGGAACCGGAACTGAAACTGTCGGAGTTCTGAGTGAGCCCATTTTAATTGAAGAATTACCTTTTGTTCCGCTCGCAAAAATGAACTTTATCTTAGCAGGCAAGTTTCAGCCTCTAACAGTGTCAATCTTGCTGCTGATTCTCTGCACACTTGGTCTAGTTTAGAGAAGTGACCGCGCAGTCCATTTAGTGTCACTTTTTCGGGTCCTGCTTGACCTTAGCTTTTTGTTCTCAGGAATACGCATCTCAGTCGCGCATATCGTGGAAGACCTTGATTGCCAGGCACCTTCCTTCGTGGTGTTTGCAGTGTCAGGCGATCCATGTCTGATAAATCACTAAATCCAGTGTCCATCAGACCCGCTTAATTAGCTGCAGTTAAACGAGAGGCCTAGTCATGTGTGCATGCTCCTCTGATAATCACCACACACCATTTGTAAAGAGTCACGGATAGTACACTTCTTGTATTACCTTATAGAGAACGTCGCGCGTTGGAGGAGCGAGAGCGTGAGCAGGAAGCTGCAAAGCAAATGGAGGCTCGCGTTAATGAGGCTTTTGAGGCTGCCCTTGTTGACAGAGCGGATGACTTGCGCGCAGAATTGGAGCGTCTGTACCAGGCTGAAATAGATAAAAAAGTTAAACATCGTCTGGAGGAGATCGAAAGAGAGATTCAGCGTGCACAAGAAGAGAAAAGGCGAGTCGAGGTGCGTTCCATCTTGACATGCTAAAAATTGCTTTGTTTCCACCACCGCCTGAAACCTGCGCTTGTCGATTTCTTTTAAACTGTTACTTCGGATTGTCAGATGATTTCCTTCCCAGAAGTTGCCTTCTATGTGCTCAGAATGTCCATGTAAACATAGGTGCAAGATCACCAACTTGCCTTTGTCTTTTCACCCTTCACCCTTTTGCCCTTCAGGAGGAAGAAAGGCGTAAACAAGAAGAACTTGAGCGCATTCTTGAAGAAAACAACCGGAAGCTTATGGAAGCTCGCAAACGTGAGGCAAGTGCAGATACCAACTATCCTACCTGATGAAATTACAGAAGTTCGGGAACTCCATTTGGTTTATCTTGCCAAAATTGAATTCAGCTGCGATGGCGAAGATTAGGTCATTCACCCGTGCAGATATTGTCTGATTACCCTTGAACGTTTTCCGGGTCGAATTCTGTAGTTCGCGCAAAATTAATGCTCGGATATTTAGAGCACTGACTTCAAGAAATGCGGACAACCAGTACCACCATCGATGTTATCAAGCCAGGTCTTAGAGTGTCCATCTCAACTATCTGGTCGGCATGAAAATTTCGCAATTTGACAGTTCCACCGGCCTTTAACATTTATGAAGAAGCCAACTGAATCCTCAGACCAGTACAGCCCTGAGTGACACTGTGCTTTCGAAAAGTTGTTTCCTCTATGATTCCATATTAGACCTTTGTATAAGAATTCGACCCGAGAGCTCGCATTCTCTCAATCCATAGCTAACATTGTCCATAATAATAACGAATGATTAGTTTGGCTTAGCTACGGATTGTTGTCTGACACTATAAGGACAGGCCTAGTAACGTAAACCCCTCACGGGACGCCCTTATAATTTCTCATGATATCTACCCTTGGCTGGCGACATCCCCGTATAATCAAGTTCCCCGGTCATATTCTCTAAGTACTCTTCCTTGTTTGGCGATTTTCTCCCGCGTCTTGTGCATATTACTAAATTATCTTATTTTTTGGACGTTTCTCCACAGCTGTATGTGAAGCTAGAAATATGTATTCGGGCCTTAAGCGCCTATTAATAAGTAATCAGTAAATATTGCCAGCGAACTAGAGAGGGAGTGGGGTAGTCCACCCTGGCTTATTTGCCGCCTTCGTCTGGCCATACCTTGAACTCACACTGGGGACACCCAAAGCCTGATTTTTGCTTTCTCGTCGTCCTGCTTGGGCTCTAGAGCGAAACTCAAGAGCAAAAGGATGCGTCGGCAAACGCCATTGCCGTTTTGTTTTGTGCGTATTTAAAATTACTTTGAAGAAAGTTACTAATGCAACTTGACGGCCAGTCTGAAAGCCTTTTCGGTAGAAAAAATTCCGCTCATTTTTAGGCTAATGGTTTTGTTGCGCTCATTTGGGTATTGTCCAAGGTCTTCCTGACCCATGTAAAGGTTATCACTCGACTATTTTATCCGTTACGCACTGACTTGGTAACTGTTCCATAACAACACACATTGCCCCTTTCGGCGCGCATTATTTCCAAACGGAAGACTCACGAGAATATAACGAATTTGCTTGGAAGTTTGCTGACCTTTGAAGTGGCGTTTAAGTTGCTGTCACTATTGATGTTAGAACTTTTTTGTTTGCAAAGCCGTTTGCGCAAGCCCGTCACTCCGCTTCGCTGTATCCCACTGTCTGGCCTCCCATTCTCACGTTCAGTCATGGCCACTCGAGCGTGTACGACTATTCCAGAACCTAGCGGGGGTCGTAAGATCCCACTTGGGAATACTGGGGTTGAGAGACTTTGACATTCTCGTCAGAGGCAATAGCTGCGATTTAAACGCCGATGACATATATTAATAGACTCGGACCTCATTTTATCTTAATATTCATTCAGGGGTTCATATACTCACCCAGGTATGCGTCCTGTAATTCATGAAAGTGGTAACGCCATGTTGCTCCGGCTTGCCTGGAGTTTTACTCTCACGCAGGTACACCAATAGTTTTACAAAACCACACGAAGTAGGAGTTGTTAGTCATAACCTCTCTAATACGTCAGTTATGGTTGGGAGGTCCCTTGCTATTTGGATCTCGGTCTTCTTCGCTCTGCAAATGGCATCCGCAGGTTAGGCGGAAGCTGATTGGTTGAAACTGGTGACATGTGGTTCCCGTGAATGTACGACTTTTGAGTAAATTTTGATGATTTTGTCAAATCTCTAGAATGTCCCTGCCGTCGCTCACTTGTAATTTTGGAGACAAAGAATCGGTCCTTATAAATTCGACGATAGTGGCTAACACTATATAGATTCCACTTTAAAACTTGACGCGAGGTCTTTTTGCTTCATTTTCCGCCAGTGTTCGCAGAGTGACTATTCATCTCAAAGCGACAAGCTTTGGTGGTCAGTTTCACAACAAAGGTGTCGGATCTGTCACCGCAGTTCGGGACATTTAGTTGTCTTTACGGCCACTTTCCGACGACCACTTTGCCAATGTTGTGCTTGGTGACTGAACCAAGTAAGTGTGACAAGACGACCTGATTCGAGACCAACAAACCGGTTGCCGTCCTCACAGCGAATTCTAGCAGAAACGTTATTCGGACGTGATCGGCTTGTCACGTAATTGCTAATGTGTGCGTCCTATGACAGGCAAATATGTAAGCTCAGTCGAATTCTGAGATTTTAGTGGGCTTTCCACCCGATCTGCACATTCGACTTTTTAAGAGATGTATGTATCTAATTTTGTTGTTTCCGAGTCATCAGCCACGGTGCTGTCATACCTACATCTATAGCACTAACCGTAGCCCTCTTGCACCGTCTAATTCGGCGTGTATTTTGTGTTCTCATAACCCACTCCGTCCGCTGCCATAAGTGTGGTCTGAGCCGGAGTTTCTTAGGTTACATTTTCCGTTTTGATTGGCTTCTCACATACTATATTAATGCAGAATTAATATCAAGTGCGTTTTTTCCTTTTTCTGCTTTAGGATGTTGCTTTCAATAATTCCAAAGTCTTCGATTAAGATGGGATCCGAAAGAATATGGCAAAAAACCTCTTCACTATGTACATAGCTTTTTTCCAATAAAATTAACACTGCACAGACGCTTTTTAATTTTTGTGGTTACTCGAAACCAGCAAACAGGTTGTCAAATTCTTTTGTTCCATTCAGAAGAGTGACGTCCTTTTTGCGTTTCCTCCTCTTGGCATCCGGTTTTCCATCGCCGTCGGTATCTCCATCAAGGTCCTCGTTAGCCTTTAAAAAGTTTCAGAAAGTATGCCTTGAGAATAACTGCAGCAGATGTTACTAAACTTATGCACGAGGAGATAATCGAATGTAGCGTGTTTATCAGTCAACTGGGGTATTTTTCAATTTTTCCCGTTATCTGTTACGAGTTCTCGGGTTCGATCGTTGAATTTTCGAAAATGGGCTATCTTAGGCTAGATAGAGGATCATCTTCAAAGGTATATCTAAGTGTATGCTCTGCAGTACATTTTTCACGGCGTTATTGGCGCGCAGCCAATGTTTGGTAAGTGTAGTACATTAATACGCGGCCTACACAGTCAGTCAATTATCGGGCAGTCATCACTGGTCGAGAGCCCAAAACATGGTCATGAGGACGCAAGCTGCCACTAACGAGGACATCGACTATACGATCAAGGTCAGTTTCAGGTTTCACTGACAATTCTGGTCGACACGGTAAAGCAATCGCCAGGAGTAATCAGACCTAAGCTTTACCCATGCTCTGGGTGCGGGTGTCTTAGTGGGCTGCACTTGTGCGCCTTCATGAAGCCACCAAAGTCGCAGTTGTACGTTCCAACGGCGGCACAGATTCGAGGGAGAGCGGCGAAGAACGCGCCATAACCCCGCCCCGGTCATGTTTCTTGGCATGGGATCTCCTCGCGCATTCACCGCAGCGATTACCAGTTGTCTCACTCGAGGCGGAATCAGCGTACTTCTCTCGATAATAACAGCGTTTGGAAACCTCCAGCTTCTTCCTCGTCCTCCACTTTCAGTTGATATTTACAGCCTTAAGTGAATGACTGCACAGATGTTTGGTATGCACAGGTCTTAGTAACTACCACAACATGTTCGTCGAAATCTTCGGGGATTACAAAAATCTTGCAAACTGCGTCCATTTGAGCAAGAAACAGTGCGATCTTCGCCCGCTGCTTGAACGTGATGATGAAGGTTTCGCTTATCCACACTTTTGTAAGAAGATTAACCTGGTCTATCGACTCCCATTCATTGTGATTCCCTGTGACAGTCCGTGCCACATACTGACATTTTGCCGAAGTTACTTCGACTGTTCCAGGAGGGCCACCAGGGAAAGGGGCTAAAGTTGGTAAAAGTTGCGAGGAAAGTGATTCCTTTGAGACTGCCTTTGACATCCGTCGGCACTGCATCCTCTCTGGTGCGATATACTTGGTTCCATAACATACCGACCGACCTTTCTTATGTTATAGTTGATCCCAGTCTGTGTATTTTGGACTCGGACAACGCTGGAGACACTTCGAGACTGGGGAGGTCCTTCACAATTACATTAAGTTTGTGTAAGGTTGAAGGGTAGCTGAAACAGGTCTCGAAATAATTTCTTCCAAGAAAAGGGCGATCGCTGGGGGATGTTGAAGCGGGTCTGATGTTGCAAGAGCCGACATCATGCGCATTTCTGGTCGTGCAGCTTTCGCACTATGAGACTACTGAAACTGGCAGGTTTCTCGTTGACCAATCGTAAGGGGGAGGCCGTTGATCGTAATTAGATAAATCTTACACTTGATGCCACTACGAACGCCCTTCAAGAAAAGGTATGTAAGTATTCAAATCCGGTCGGCCTGCGTCCCAGTGTTAAGTCAGCATTATCGAACGGCAAATAGCCCCTCAGCGAGTTAAGTTAGTGGCATGGTCTGATAGAATGATCTGCTGGATGCATTCTATCCAAGCTTAATTGCGCTCAATTTGGCTGTGCTCATGAATAGAGTCAAAAATGTAAGTCTCAGCTTCTTGCAAAAGGAGGAGTAGCAGGGCATCGTGCCAACTATTCGGGGCTTGCGGACACATACATGGGCCTTCTATCGCAAAAATAAAGTATTAGTAAGGACTGTGTAGCTTTGTAAATTCTCTTATCACGTGCGTCATCTGCTCGAAAGACAGCGACACTATCTGACTGAGTGCATTTCCCATAACATGTAGATGTAAAGTCGATGTCAGCGTGGGCAGTTGCTGTCTTCGGCAGCCCTTGCCTTGTTACCCACACGCTTTGTTACCCGAACACCCAAAAAGTCGTATTCGTGGTCTTTAGGTAGGTAACAGGAAATTGGGACACCGGATAGCCCCTCCGGATCACTCAGTGACGTATCCGTGAGCTGAAGCGTCGCACGACCAGAGCTCTTGTTACAGGGACTAGCGGAATTAGATCCGGGAAAACACCACGTCGTTGCCGGTGTTTAGCCTGTCTTTTATTCGCACTCCAAGTCGGCGGGGTGGATGCGACTAGCAGGCCTACATCGAACGGTGCCGCAGTGTGGTCTTATAATTTAGACTTGCATGGCGTTTAAAGCTCAGATAAATAAAAGGGCTGTTCCGGTGATCGAAAATGTCGACACGCCTCGCCTAGCCTTAGTTTCTCTAGTGTTTCTCGGAAATTTTCGGTACATAGGGTTTCCTAATTGTTACTAGATTCGTTTGTTCTAGGGTTTTACCTCCCTAAAATTTGTCACTAAGGCAGCAGTGGTAAGCGAACGTACTTAATGGCAGTTAATGGTCGCGACATCGCAATACCATTATAAGGCTTTGCGTATTTTACAGGACAGTTGGTGTGCCAAAACTCAACTTCGGGCACCCCGGTAGCACTGCTGTTACTGCTGGTGGTCCACGACTGCTCAGTCCTTGGATGCACATATGCTTATTTATCAGCTAGTTTTCTACCTGCCAGCCATGGACGTACAGGCTAGTAGTTTGAGTGCATTTTTACCAGTCCGGCGCGCTTACTCTCATTTCTTTAAATTCAACGCGATCACTCCAATGTACAGTTAGTGACCTAACTCATGAAATGTGTCGAAATTTACGAATGATTGCCAATCACTCGCCAACCGACACCATTTTGAGTCCAGTGTCTATGTTAATTAAGTATACGTTTAAAAGAATTAAAAACATAAAAGAAACATTAAATGCGGTGTTGCGTTGTTCAGAAATGCCGCTTTATTTAGAAAAGCGCAATATCCCGGAAACGTCAGAAATGGCATTAATTTAGTAAACTTCGTTTTTGCATGTATAGAATGTATTTTCATGCCAAAGCGTAGTAAATATGAAAGTAGAGATAAAGTGACGTCTAATAATAGTGTTGTGAAACGACAAAACTACTATCCCACACGGTTGCTTATGTCTTAGTTTTGGGGCTCTGGATATTCGGATGCGGCTATCAGCAAAGGAAACGCCAAAGTCTCCGGAGCCGCTACCATAGATCCTGCACGTAAAACATTCAGCAAAACGTAGTCAAAGCGATTAAGTTGTTCACAATACTATGTGTATAAACAAGCACCGTCTCCGTTGACCGTTCGCTGGTTCAGAAATCTCAACATCCGCAAGAGCAGAGACAGTACTCTGGGCTCCGTACTCTCAATTCCACGCAGACAAATAGTTTTGACCGCTTTTCACTATTCCTGGGGTCGCGTGGCCGACTAGCGACTTATTGTTAGTTTTCGGTCTCAGAAAGGACTGTAAGCAAATGTGCCAAGGTGCGCTCTTCAAATGGGGACTCTTGACTGTGAAAATACTCCGATAAGACGGCGTGCTTGCATGACCTGAGAGGTGACATAGTGTCGCACGCGGTCTGCACACTCAGATATTGACTGTGTTCAAATGAGATTGGCAGTCCCCAAGAGGTGCTATAATAACCCTGTTCTATTTTCCTCACTGTTGGATTACCATTGGGGTAACCCCACGAACCTCATAAATTTCCTTACATTGTCATTAGTAGTTGGCATATGTTGTTTGCCACTCAGCTCGAATTCTCAATCTGAAACGAGATGAAGCCTCAAATGGCTATCGGGCAGAAATTTACGGGAAGAATTCATCGTAAGACATAAGTTTAAACTTGAACACAGGAGGGAAGAACAGTTTCGATCTATGTTCCACGTTCGCACAAGACCGATTGCTGGTACGAATTTAAAAAGTGCCTAGAATGGAACGGTTCAACATGCGACACATACCGTAGTTGTTGAAACCGAAGCTGACTTTTTAAATTCGCCTGGTTTTTGCATCCTGTTGCATGATATTCGTATATTCTCAGCGTGCTCAGATCTTTTTTTGTAAATGGACTAGTCCACTCAAATAGCTATTTAAGGGCTACGAGGTAATTATTCCCGGAAAGTCGGACGACGAGGCGTCTAGGATGCTTAAAGGTCTAGGCTCTGTATTTAGCCACTTTCGATTTAACTACCGGAGCTGGGCAATGTGAGGCCCCGCTTGTTCTTCTGTTTACTGCCAAGATCTTTAAGATCGTTTCTTAAAAACAGACCAGTATAATATGCGATCATTGCAAATCGAAACGGTAGACTAATGAAACTCTGCTTTAGAGGATTATATTTGAGGTCAAACATCAAGCATAAGCTAGTTATTAGTGCCTAAGAAATAGAGAAACTGTCATGGGGCTTGGTATAGCTACAGATATAACGTCGGAGAATGTGTCTGCTAAGAGATGTTGGGATTCATTTAAAAGTAAGGAGCTCAGGTAAAATGCCGAGACATTCAAACGAAATTCAAGCTAGATTTAAACAGACAGCAACGAAATAGCTTGGCTCATATCGATCGATCGATTAAAAAAAAACAAGTAAATACGCTTTTCCGTTCCAACCAAAGTCGACAGTCTTTCTAACATGCACTGTTTGTTAACTTACGCCAGTTGTCCATAGAATAGATAGAAGATCGTTAATTCTGTCCTCAGAATCCTTCAATGGAACCTACGCCATAATCGTATATGATTATGTGAATGCATTACCTTGAGGATAGATGTGACCTTTTGCTTGAAATCAAAGTTTCGGCTAATATCGAAAATTTTCGCTAAAGCTTTTGAAGATATAGTTGCAAAATACTGCGTCTGTAAATATCGTATGCTAAACTTGGGAACCTACATCATCCACGATATCAGATTTCTGCATTCGAGCAATTGCTCAAATGTCGAGGGTATGAATTAGTCTACCAAAAGAAAGTAACTGCCATAGGATCACAGGCTAAGGGGCCGATTAAATTGAGGACTTTTCTCGAAGTGTAAACACCTAAGAACTAAATAATCATTACAGAAGTAAGCCAACATGTAATACCCGGATAAAATGTAGTCGATGGTCGCTGGTCGTAAATTACGTTTCCTGAATTTGTGCACCGTCCCATGCACTCCTGAATAAGGAGTTGCCATTTCTTAAGGGTACCAGGGAGAAGGGTGATAGCCACGCTAATAAGACGGTTAAACGCAAGATAACCGGTGGACCAAGTGTCAGCTATGTACACTGAGGTGAGTTTAAGAAGAAGTGAAGAGGTAAGGCGGTGAGAGTGAGTGCTCTGTGCGCTACAATCATCAAGTCAAATCCTATTTTGGAAGGAGAAGACGGAAAGTACCAGAATGAGTGGGTATAACGCATAAGGGACCCTGAGTTGTCTTATTCCGTGGCAGTGGCCACTGGTAAATCCAGAGTTGGAGTTGACTTCGTCCAGTCATGCCTGAGAGTCCATGGGGCAGGAGCGGCAGCCATTCTTGTAGGCTCATGAACCAAGCTCAAGTGGTCTGATCGGTGTGTGTTGCACTTGTTGAGCAATGGTGTCTCAGTGGCTTTTGTTACTGGTTGCAGGGTGATGGAACGTTCAGTTTGCGCATGAGCAGCTACAACCCTGTGCGAACATAAGCATGTCTGAGCTGAAGTCCATCGAGTGGCTTCAGGTCAGCACGTCTGGAACCGCTTGCCGCAAGGGATGAATGGCCTTGAGGCAGCGGTGCCTTTAATAATGACGCCAGACCTGTCACGGTGGCTAGCCGCTACGGCAGTTAATGTATGTTAGGTGAGGGGAAATGAAAGAAGCATGATTTCAGAAAAGCCATCATTCATGCGAACTAGAGAATAGATAAGTATGTGTTATTGCACTTTAAAAAATACACAGGGGACCTACCTGTTATGTATGCAGAACAGAGGGGTAATTGGAAATAGAACGTGTACTGAGTACGAGAGACAGCATGAGTGAGGAGGCTTGGGGAAACGGCCGGGTATATGACAAGGGGGACTGTCATAGGCTGATGGGTGGCCAATAAGCACAAAGAAGGTGTGAACAGGGGTTATGACCTTGATCGTTCGCTTGTCACGCGTTTGTGGCATGATGTCCTGAAGGTCCGGGCAGGATACGCTGCATCCCTCCACCCTAAAGTGGAGAGCATGAGGAGGAGGGGAAGGGGAAACAGTAAAGTAATAGTGGATAGTTAGACAATGTTCTAATAGGATTCGTCCTGAAAGCGTTGAAGAAGTTTGCAGATTCGGGTCGATCTTCTCAGGGCGGTATTTTCTACCTCTGCGCCGCTTTGTGCAGTCACTGGCTCCTCTGCCCCTAAGCTAGTGCTGGCCGGGGTAGAAAGAGGAGGATGAGGAGGAGGAGGAGGAGGAGGAGGAGGAGGAACATATGCATCAGTCGGCGGTGTAGTGCTCTGTGCAGACAGTAGGTGTTCTGTTCTCAGGATGTCAGGATCCATATCAAGAGTTGCTGGCAGTTCGAACTTTTCGAACTCTCCACTTACCGTGTCCGTTCGGCTGCGAACTTGGTCCGGATGCCGACGCACAATTCTTCCATCTTATAACTCTAGTTATATTATTTTCCCCTCGCTTATTCGAACTGCTGCTTGACACCAGTTCGTTTCGTGTTCCAGTCTCGTTTAGACAATTTCGTTAGGCATGGCGACTGGTGGTCGGGTGTTCACATCACATCGTGCTTTCATTTTCGTCTGTTTTGCAATGACTCCATCATGCGTTGATGGATTAAGCAGGTCGAGTCGTGTGTGCAACTGCCGCTGGAACATCAGTTCTGCAGGCGAAGCACCAGTTGAGTCGTTTGGCGTTGTGCGATAGCTTAACAGAAAGCGTGACAACTTGGTGGCCAAGTCCGCTTCCGTCTGTTTGGCTAGTCCGTGCTTTATTGTCGGGACTGCACGCTCTGCGAGGCCATTAGAAGCAGCGTGGTACGGAGCAGTAGTTAAATGTCTTATTCCATTTTTCTCCATGAAATCTTTAAATTCTGCACTAGTAAAGGCCGAACCATTGTCTGAAACGACCATTTCACGTACCTCAAAAGTAGAAAAAAACGGTTCGCAGCTTGTTGATTACAGTTAGTGAAGAACAAGAATTGCCAGTCAGAATCGCATCAATCCATTTAGTGTGGGCGTCAACCACCACCAAAACCATATGGCCTTGGAATGGCGCAAAATAATCGACGTGTACCCTCTTACACGCTGAGTCGGGTCAGGCCCAAGGCTTCAGAGGAACCTTCGATAAGGTCTTCTGTGTTATTTGGCACACGTGACATGCTTTCACCATGTTTTCTATATCTGCGTCAATTTTGGGCCACCAAACATAACTGCGGGCGAGAGCTTTCATTCTAACTGTACCAGGATGGGCATTAAGCAGGTCTCTGAGGATGGCCCGTCGGCCTTGTGGTGGCACAACTACACGATTACCCCATAGTATGCATCCGTCTTGTAGACTTAACTCGTTCTGACGGCTGAAGAATGGTTGAAAATCAGGGGAGATAGAGGCCGGCCAACCAGATTGTAAGGCTCTTTTTACCCGACTTAGGAGAGGGTCTCTTGATGTCCACTGTCGAATTTGTTGACAGGTTACAGGTGAGTCGACTAGGTTCAGAAAATATTTACGGTCTAAAAAACAGGTGTCCCGTTAATGCCATTGTCCACAATAGGAAGCCTACTCAAGGCGTCAGCCACTACGATTGCACTACCTGTAACGTATTTCATTGTATACGTGTAAGCAGACAGGGTGAGTGCCCGTTGTTGCATTCTCGGCAAGGGCATCTGTTGTATCCCTCGTTTTTCTCCCAGCAGACCTAATAGGTGTTTGTGATCAGTGTGAATCTGAAAGGATCGGCCAAAAGACACAGGTGGAAGCGATGTAGGCCAAACATTATTGCCAACGCCTCTTTATCTAGTTGTGAATAGTTAGTTTCCGCCTGTGACATGGTTCTCGATGCAAAGGCACTTGGCATCTCCGCACCAGAAGGCATTCAGTGCATGAGAACCGCACATACGGCGTACAAAGACGCATCACATTTCAGTAATTTACAGTATAATTTTCAGTATATATGAGGGATAGAGGCAGAGTCTTGGAAAACCCTATTTACAGATAGACAGATGAAAAAACATGCAGATATTTACATAGCAGTAATATCAGTCATTGATATCATGTAAATGTTTGACCATCAAGCATAAATTTATCTAGTCTTCTTTTGAAAATCTCGACGTTTTCCGCTAAGACAACGGAGTTCGGCAATTTGTTTCATCCCTCAACCAGCCGGTGGGAGAAGAATTTGGCCCGCAACTCGAGGTTGGCATATTTCGTCTTCAATTTGTATTGGTGCCCTCGAAGATTTGTCATCCGTGCCAGTTCGAAAAAATCGTCAAACTGAAGAGCACAGTCAAGCCTTTGAACGATCCTGAAGGCCATGATCATATCCCCTCTGTACTGCCTATAAGAGAGAGGAAATATTTTTAGCTTTTCCAGCCGTCTCATATAAGGTAAGGTACTTAATCCGCCGACCAACTTGGTCGCTCTTCGTTGTACGTACTCCAGTAGGGCGTAAACTTATTTCGTCCAGGGGCACCATGCCCGGACACAATATTCCAACATTGGTCGAACGTATGCGCCAAATACTCGGCCGAAAAGTTCTTCATCAAAATTGACAAAGGATCTTCTAATGACGCCTAGAATACCCATAGTTTTCTTTGAAACCTTGGCGCAGTGATAGTATGATAGGCTTTTCGGGGTCATAATGAACTAGGACAGATGAGGAGGTAAGAGCCGTCTTTGCTTGTTCAAAAGCACTTTGTTCGATCTCTAAAAAGTGCCAGCAACGATTCTTATCAAGTAGTCGATAAAGAGGCTTTAGAATTGTAGCCGATTGATTAATAAAGCGACTAAAGTGGGTGACCAACCCCAGGAATGAACGCAATTGACCAGTATTGTTGGGCCGCGACACCGTCTTCAAGGCTTTGAGCTTATGTTCGAGTGGATGGAGGCCAGTTTTATCCACCCTGAAGCCCAGGTATTCTACCTAGTCGGCAAGGAAGATGCACTTATCTTTTCTGAGTTTAAAACCTGTGTCCTCTAAACGTCCTAGCACGATGTTAAGAGTCTCCAGATGACTGTGTTCAGATGGGCCGGTAACTAATATGTCGTCAAGGTATGCGCAAACGTGAGGCATATCATTCAAGAGGTTATCAATCAAGCATTGAAATAAGCCGGGGGGCGAACTTACTCCAAATGGTAGTCTTTTATATCGAAATAAACCCCGATGCGTATTGATGGTGGTGGCGTCTCGGGATTCAGTATCTAGAACGACTTGGTTGTAAGCATGCTTTAGGTCCAAAGTTGTAAATTAATGACCACCCGAGAGAGATGCGTACAGATCCTCAATGCGCGGGAGAGGATAAGGGTTCGGTTTAGTTGCTGAGTTGATTGTCAGCTTGTAGTCGCCACAGATACGCACAGGAACTATTGGGGCTGCCCATTCCAAATATTGCACGGGCTCAATAATATCCGCTTTCTGTAGGCGATCCAGCTCTTCTTCGACCTTCGGTGCGACTGCATAGGGGACTGAACGAACTTTGAAGGACCGGAGCCGGAAATCTGACTGAAACTGAAATTTAACAGGTGGACCGCGGTAGTGGGTAGTAGAATCGTCACAAAATAGATACTTATGATTTATCAAAACTGAATCTAGAGCCGGATTTACACCAATCCGATGTACATAGGATAGTGCAGAAGGCACACATTTAATCCAATTCTGTCCAAGGAGATTTGATTGCTGGCTTCCTCTCACCATATGAACCGGCAAGTAATGAAGTTCTCCATCATGCTCGACTTCGGCTGTGAAGACCCCTCGAACCTCTACGTTCTGTCCAGTATAACTACGGAATGTTGAGCTAGCCGGAAGGAGGCAGGGTAATTTCTGAAGAGAGGCCTCATTGATGAGAGTAACAGCTGAGCCAGTGTCGATTTCAAACTTCACGGGATGGTGATCGACCTGAAGCGTGATGGTGTAGGGCAATTGGAGTTGCGCGTTGGCCGAAAACATTCGGAGTATCGCCTCGCCATTCGCAGCTGGATTAGGGTAAGTCGCATGCGTGTTAGTGTTCGCTCGTCTTTTGGAGAAACACACTCGTTCGATGTGGCCGATTTTCCTGCAAAACTGCCCTGATAACATTTCTGCTCAGAATCTGCGCAGAATCTAAGCCGAGGTTAAGAATAATCTACGCAGAATCTGCGCCTATTTTGTCACTCAAATCTCCTCAGAATCGGCGCAGAGGCTCGGCACAGAATCGGCACATAGGCTCGGCACAGAATCTGCGCAGAAAATTCTAATCTCGCGTCGTAACCGAGCAGACCCCCCTTTATTTCTCAATAGTCCCACTACTAAGCTGTTTCCCCTATTTTCAAGCCCATAATGCTAATATACTATCCCGTAAGTAGTGGGCATGAAGACGAGTAATGTGGTTGTTGGTTATTAAATTTTTTTGTAAAAAAATAATATGCACAAAGTAGGTATCTAGTTAAAAGTGTTAGAAATCTGGTACAAATTAGATATTATGTAAAAAAGTATTAATTTCTTAGTTAATTTGGTCATAGCAGGCCGTTCTAAGGCTTTGAAGAAGAGCCAGACGGTCCCGGACGAGGAATATCTTCGTCATCGTCGGCAGTGTCTAAAAAAGTGCACTCAAGTTAATTTGGGTAATGTAAATAATAGTTGCATGAGGTCTGATTATGAAGGGGTAACTAACCGTCCAGTGCCATGGCATACCGTCTTCTGGTGTCTACAGTCTAACCACCGGATAATGTGCTGACCACAACGGTAGCAGGATGGTAATTGTTTTGAGGGAGCTGAGGGTCGCTGTTTAGGTGAAGGTACATCAGTGTTGACTAGGGAGACAGCCATTTCAAATTCCAAGGATGCTATCATTCCATCATTTGACTGATTCAGCTGCTGAAGATTTTGTCGCAGGCGCTCCCGATGACTGGCGATATCACAGGCTTTCTCCCATGACAAATCCTTCTTCTCTGATAGAAGATTTTCCCGAGCTTTTTCATCGCGCAGACCGACGATCAACTGCTGAACGAGCATTGCGTACTCGAAGTTGTCTGCCTTGATCTCTTAATACCCACAGTCCTGGATGGCTAGATTCAGATTAGTAATAAAATCACTGACACATTGATTGGATTCTTGACGCATTTGACAAAACCGATAGCGACTGAGAAAGACGCACGTCTCTGAGCCTGTGGATGAAACTCTCGACGAAGATAATGACTTTGGCGGGTACTTCTCCCTCATTGTCTCAGCAATTGCAAGGATACGGCTCTGATGATGCCAGCCGCTCGAATAATACCGGAACATAGCACTAAAAATAATCAAATTTATAAAAGATAGCATCATTGATAAACATAGAACAGATAGTTATATTCTTTCTTTCCTCCCTTTCTCGTTTTCATCAGCTATGTCAACTGACACTAAATATCCCTTATGAAGCTAATAAAAATATACCCTTCGATAAAATCCTGCATATTAGTCGTGCATATGTCTATATTAAGGCCATACTAAGCATATATACAACTATATCAGGTCATATTAAACAGTCGACCACTACTCCTATAATTTCACATTAACAAAAACAATATGATACATGATTCAATAGTATTTTGACAGTTTTGATTGTGACTTACCATTAAATGCTTCTTATTCCTGATATATATTCATCTTTTCCAGCTCTTAGTCCAGACAACGATGGTAAGCCTCCTGAAAAACACGTAGGAACTGTGTGACCGCCCCCTTACAGCTGGCCAGATAGACTGACAACCAGCAACTCGAGCACACCGAAATTTACCCAACAGGAAAATAATTTCAAGGTCAGGCCGATATCGAAGTTCTTCAATTGCCATGAAGGACATATTATTTATGCCCACAAAAACTACCAAACTTCAAACTTCAATTTTTATATTGTACATATAGTTATTTTAAAAAAGTTTTGTTATTATTTTCCCTTAGAACTGAGGTTTTTTTAAACTTACAACAAACTCTCTATTCGCGCTCTTTTGGCTAAACAGACACCCGAAACAAATGAAGTCAAAGTGCAGTTGAAATTGACGAGTTAGTTTTGGGTTTTTTTCTCGAGTTCAAAGGGGATTGACAGTGCCTAATGGGTGCTACAATAAACCTATTCTATTCTTTTCTATTCTAAACTCCCTATCGACACGCCTACGATAAGTTCTCCGACAAATTGGTCTAAACATGAAGAAAAGAAAACGGATGAACACAATATTATGGGTTAATAGAAAAGATAAAGCTCAGGACAGCTCTGCGTGCGCTCAGCAGCGTGGCAAGGCAGGAAATGACGCCCATGGGCACCTGCAGGGAGGACCATGCCAGGCAAGCACGCCGTGCTATAGATAAAAATCGATACAAATATCAGCGTACGCTCACTCATGCGCGCCCCTGGGAAAAATGCCGATACGGCTGCTGCCAACCAATCAGAGGCCAGTTGCGAGCGAGACGCGAGCAGCGAGTCTCGATTCGCAAGTCATTGCTATTAGGGGTCGTCTTTTCCTCACCACGCTGACTCGAGTTTGGTAAAGGCTGTTTGGAGATCTATAGCCTTTTGTAGATTAAGGGCATCGAAATATCGTTGTCCCAACTCTCCGAGATTCGTCCGGAGGAGTTTCAACTTAGATGGGACGTCTAGTACAATTGTGGGCGACAAAATCGGGAGTACTTCAATATAATCCTCAAATGTCTTCCTCCATTGCAACCATGAGTCATTTTAGGGCTTCCGGGTGTTCTTTGGCCAGAAAGGTAACGGTGTAGGAAGCAATGAAGACATGTTCGTTAGGCTGCGTCGCCCGGGCAGGATACGCTGCACTACCTGCTGCGTTTATGCATATTTTTCTAACCCCATTGCACGCACAATTTCATCACCGGTTGTTTGTCAAGACTTATATTTGCTCTCTTGAATCTGTCGCAGTCCTCAAAAATTTCCATTTAGAATGTTGGCCTTCATGTCTGCTAATGAAGTATTCCACCCGTCCCCAACTATTGTCCGTTATGTCTAAGACCCACCAGCGCAGATAAGTCTGTTGATTGTGATAAATACAGTTTTTGGCATTTTGTATGAAAATATCAATGGGAATAAGTCTAAGTTACGAGGAACACAAGGGAATGTTAATAAATGTTGCCATTTTGAGGACCGTAAGAATTTATTTTGCTGAAATTTCGGGTTTAAGGAAGTAAGTGAACTTATAGTATCAACAATCCAAAGGATATATTTCGATCGCGTAAGCTCGATTTCCATTCGTATAAACCTGGTCGAAAATTTTCGAAAAAAATGTGAAAATTTTTGGCAATCATTGACCGTCATAATTCCTAACAGCCGTGGATTTCGAAAACTGCAGATCAGAATAAAAAATTCGTAACTTGTATCCGTTAATCAGGGACACTTCTGAACATTACGTCAGACATGAGTCCAGGTCAGCTGAGAAAAGTAGATTGTTCGATTCGCTCGCATGTTACAGCAATGACCTATTTATATGCCTGAGAGGCCGTGTCCTTGCTGTTTAGAAGTACCGCGATGGTCGATGACGTGATATGTACCGGGCTAAATAAACGGCTCTAGTTCTAATCCGTGAAATGTTGCCTTTTAATCTCACCAGGTGTCACCTTTTTCGTAGTTGTCAGGAGATATGTCATTAGCCAACTGGTATTTGCATGACAGTCACATGTTGTGAAAACTGGCAGATTAAAGCTGGAGTTCTGAGCAAGGAAGGAAAAAAGTTCTGCAAAAAATGACTGTGGTCAGAATGACGCAGCTTCGAGCAATATTTTGTCACAAAATTTTCGTTCATTTTTGGGCTTCAGGCTATTTGATAAAAGAAAGCTATCATACCAGCAAACGCGACGTCGGTCATGCTAGTGTTTCAAAATAAGCAGAATTCTAGTTGGTTAGCATAATTGTAGCCGCGAGATTTCTTGCAGTGGCACCGCCCGATCGTATAAGCGACCGACCGGAAGGTCTTGACTTCGTTTAGGTAATGAGACCTTTGGCATTAGTAAGTGCAGAGGTAGATGTGAAGATGAATTAGGCACGTAAGTGCAGTCCATGCGACTCAGTTGATTCGCGTGACAACTAAATGTACGATCCGATTATAGTCTGGTAGTCGCCACATTTTTGTTGAATAGAGTCATGCGTCCACTTTTTCTGATTACGCGTGTAGTTATTTGCGAAACCTTCTCACCCAGTTCGGACGATTATTGCTTTTCCCGGTGACGCCGTTTGAAGTTCCCCTCCATCAAAGTCAGGCGGAATGTTTTAAGACCAACTCTCGGTTGTCCGCTGACAGACGAATGAAGTCAAATGGCGTGCAAAGTTCCCTCAGCAAGAGGGCCTTTGCAGGAGAGGTGCCGTTTGAAGAATGGGGGCTTAGGGCGGCCTGAAAGTTATTCAAAACTGTTTCGAGAACTTCGATAGTCCCGCCCCCTTTTGACTTTTGTAAAGCCCGCCTAAACGCATCAACAAAACGCTCAGCCTGGCGGTTGGACTGCGGGTAAAATGGTAACGAACACATATCCTTAATGCCTGGCTGCTTGGAGTATAGGACGAGGGCGGCTGATGTGAAACGTCCCGCACTGTCGCTTACCGAAATCTCGGGACAACCAAGTATGATGAGTAATTGTCGAAGTTTGTTGATTGTGGAGCCGGTTGTCGTATTCCTCACGGGAAAAACTTCGGGCCACTTGCTGCATGCGTCAAAAACGACAAGGAGGCTTTTGCCATTCATCAGTCCAACAGTAGATGGGGGTCCACCGACCGTTTTTAGGGAACTCACTCGTTACGTTGTGTCTTACGGGACCTCTCTCTCGACCACAGCCAGCGACCGCACAGCGGCGGATGATATAGGAAGAACGTTATTACCAATAAGGACAAGGGTGACCAGTCTACCTTGGCAGGGTTCGGGTCACTAAGGTCAAGTGATTCTCATTGCCCGTCGCGCGGATGGTGCATCCTCAAGACCATTTTGAAAATTTTTGTGATCCAAAGATAAACGGATCATCGCATCTCCGCGGGCCGTTTCCGTTTGGATCTTGCAGGTCCTCCAGGCCGTAGGTCAGTTGACTGCTGAAATGTGGACAGTAAGCAGGTGAAAACTACAGAGCGGCATTAACTTACCTGGTGGTCGCCTAACTTGTGGCGTCCTGTGGGGCTAGATACGGAGGCTCATCTTGGAGATGACGACGCGGTGGTTCGTCAGCCATCCACATTGTAGATTGCATCGATCACAATTACGCCCTGTCGATCTCGTCACCAGACGAAAACACAGTCCAGCGGCTGCCAGCGGCGCCTTCGGGGGCTGGTTCAGATGGCCTTTTTTCGCATCGGCGAGGAAAGGAAGGTGTTGATCGGCAGTCGGTGGTATTCTGCGCAGGTTTACAGGTGGAGGAGACCATTATCGTTGCAGCCGGTGATCCTGTGAGGAACCAGCACTCCCCTTCAGGCAGCGCAGTCTGTCCCGACGCTGACAGCAAAGTCGTCATGGACGACCAACTTGTCCATCTTCGTCACAGGTGACAGGAGGATGTGCACGTTTTCGTAGAACTCAACCTTCCTCTTGCCGGAACCGATAATTGGCGGGGCGTAGGAGCTGATGATGGTGGCGAATTTGGATCCCCGAAGAGGAGGACGCAGGCTCATCAGTCGGTCGTTCATGCCATGCGGTACACACGGCAGTCGCCCCAGGATGTCGTCACGTTTGCAAAGGTGACGCCCGTATCCCATCCCGTCGGCCGCTCCAGAAGATGGTGTAGCCGGCACTTACCCCTCTTCCAGTTGTCCTTGTTCGTAGAATGGGGTCTCGCTGAATGCAGAAATGTCCACCTTGTAGCGCGCCAGTTCCCGAGCCACTATCGCCGCCTTCTATCCCAGTAAGTTGCTCCTTGGATTGCCTGAAAGAAGACGGGCAGTTCAGCCTGTAAGAGCGAGCATACTCACTCTGGCGACCTGTGGGGGATGTGGTGGAGGGGACGGGGAGGAGAGGGGAAAGAGAGTGTTGATATTGTCCGTTGTAGTGTTGCGACTGCAAGATTTTTATTTACGAGCCCGATATGCTAGCAGATGACGTGATTCCCAAGCATTTGTTTAAGATACCATTTATGGCCCCCTCCCCCTTCGTAGGAAAACGGTGCCCTCCCGAAATAGATTGTTTAGGTATCCCGGGCATCTGCCGAACTTCACTATGGGTTCTGACTTTTTTTAGTGGAGAGCGACTGGAGTTGGTCTGGGTCACCCATGTGATTGCATGTCGCCCAAATTCTAGAGCACAATGGGGGCTGGAAAGGGAAAGGAGGGCGGGGGTGGGAGGAGAAGATGTGCATGAAAGAGGGAAGGGTAGGGGATGGGCGTAAGGGGTGAAGAAAAAGGGAGAGGGTAAGGTGGGGGAGAAAAGACACGGAGGAGAAGGAGAAGGAGAAGGAGGAGGAGGAGGAGGAGGAGGAGGAGGAGGAGGAGGTTAGAGATAGCGGGGCCGTAGAGTAGTCAGGAGTAGTTAGCGACAGAGAGGCTGAGGAAGAGGCGGGCTGAGGGACGACGGTTGGGGCAATCCTAGAGCTGCAGTTTATCCGAAGATGTCCAACAAGTCCAATTCGTGCCCGCAATGTCCGTTGGCATCGAGAGCATGTTGGAAGCGGTTGTGTGTCGGCGTTGCGTACTGGGCGCAGCAGTGATTTTCGTGCTTCGCGTTTCGCTTTGGTGGCGGCGATGCAGTTGGCTTCGTAGACCGCAGCACCTGTCTTCGCTGTCCTCATCCAGGTCGGCCGATCGAGGGCGACGTCTTCCCAGTTGATAGGGTTAATTTGCAGACGCTTCAGGGTATCCTCGTATCGACAAATTTGGCCTCCTTGGCGGCGAGAGTCCGTGGCGACGTCTCCGTAGAAGAGTCGTTTGGGTAGTCGTTCGTCGTCCATGCGCACCAGGTGGCCGCTCCAACGCAGCTGTATTTGTCTCAGCATGGTGTAGATTCTGAGGATTCCCGTCCGTTCCAGCACATCAGTGTCAGGTATTCGATCCTGCCAGTTCAGTCCCAGGATGCGACGAAGACATCTGAGGTGGAAGTGGTTCCGTCGGCGTGCCTGCCTTGTGTACACTGCCCAAGTCTCCGCTCCGTACAGCAGCGTCGGCAGGATGACGGCCTTGTACATCTTCAGCTTTGTGTTCAGTTGAAGTCCGTGGCGATTCCAAACTGTGCTTTGGAGGCGGCCGAAGGCCTGACTGGCTTTTGAGATCCTGTTGGCGACTTCGTCATCGACCTTGGTGTTACGGGAGAGGGTGCTGCCCAGGTAAGGGAAATTCGCCACCACCTGCAGTTAGGTTCCGTCCACAATGATTTGCGGTGGAGGTGTTGGGTGGCGGTTGCTGCATCAGCACCGTCTTCTGCGTGTTGATGACCAGTCCGAAGTTCTTGCGGGCGGCGGAGAACAGGTGCATGCTGCGTTGCATCTCCTCTTCCGAGGTGGTGTTCAGGGCGCAGTCGTCGGCGAAGAGAAGTTCGTGGACAGAGGTTGTGGATACGCGCGATTGGAAGTGCATCCGTCGTTGATTCAGAAGGTGACCGTCCGTCCTGCAGGTGATGCAGATCCTGGGGTTATCATCACGGCGGACGTCCATCAGCATGGCAGAGAACATGAGACTGGAGAGGGTAAGCGCCAGCACGCATCCCTGCTTCACTCAGTTGGTTACTGCGAATGCCTCTGAGACAGCTCCGTTGTCCGGGATTCGCGCCATCATACCGTCGTGCAGCTGACGCACCATCTAAATGAATCGCTCCGGACAGCCGAATTTCTGCATGATCTTCCACAGTCCTTCACGATCTTCCTTCAGGTCCCCCATCTCCTGGCACTCCTCTTGAAGTTGACGAGCAACAAAGATCATATCCGTGGTCCCTCGATGACGACGGACGCCGCATTGGCTTTCCGGCAGATGGCCCTATTCAAGATGATTATTTAGACGATTGATGAGGATGCGAACGAAGATCTTCTCGGCGATGTTCAGCAAGGAGTTGTCGCGGTGATTGTCGCAGACTTGGCGGTTCCCTTTTCGCTTGTAGAGATGCACGATGGTTGCGTGATTGAAATCTTGCGGGACTTCACCTTGACGCCACATCCCCTGGAAGAGCGCAGTCAGATGATCCATCAGTTGGGGACATCCGTGCTTGTAGACCTCAGAAGGGATCGCGTCCGATCCGGACGCTTTCCCGCTGGAGAGCTGCTGCACGACCCTGATGGTTTCCTGGAGAGATGGCGGGAGGTCGAGATCCACGTTGGTCTCCACTTGCGGCAAACGCGCGATGGCGGCGTCGGAGATGGCGGAAGGGCGGTTTAGGACGCCTCTGAAATGCTCTGCCCATGGCTATAGAATTTGTGTCTTCTCAGTCAGGAGGGTACTGCCGTCAGCGCTGAGGAGAGGAGCAGTGCCCTTCGTCGGCTGGACGTAGACGGCTTTGATCGCAGAGAAGAAGTCCTTCCATTCATTGCGGTCCGCGTGGCCTTGGATCTCTTCAGCTTTGCAAGCAGTCCTGGTGTTGGCGGCGTGCGCGACCGAGGACGGATAGCGCCGTCGACTGGACCGTGTCTCGCAGTTGACAACAGCGGTTCTCCATGGAGGCGTTCTCGACAGCGGCGGCGTCGGCAGCGACGGGAAGGTTGTCTAGTCGTTGAGTTAGCTCATTGCTGAAGTGGATATGGTGAGCGGACAAAGACAACAAGGCAGTATTAAGCTTGCCTGGGGGTCTCTTACCTTGTGGTCTCCTGCGAGGCTGTAGGCGAATACGCATCTTCGAGATGACGAGGCGATGGTCGGTCCACCCGTCAGCACCCGCGATCGCCTTCGTCACCAGCACGTCCCGCTGACCTCGCCTCCGGACGAGGACATATTCCAGCAGGTGCCGCTGACGCGACCGAGGATGCCTCCAGGTGGCCTTCTCTCGCTCCGGCAGACAGAAGAACGTGTTCGTCAGGCTGAGACGGTGTTCTGCGCAGTTGCGGAGAAGCAGCAGACCATTGTCGTTTGAGCCGCGGAGATCGTGGGGACCCAGCACTCCTTTTCACGCAGCATGGCCCATGCCGACGCGGGCGTTGAAGTCAACAAGGACAATCAACTTGTCCGCCTTTGACACAGTCGCCAAGAGGACGTGCAGGTCCTCGTAGAATTTGTCTCTTGCGGCGGCGTCGGGGCTGGTCATCGGCGGAGCGCATGCGCAGATGATAGTGGCGAATTTGTCCCCCCGCCCCCCGCCGGAGAGGCAGACGGAGGCTCATCAGGCGATCGTTGATGCCATGCGGCAGACTGGGCAGTCGTCCCACGATGTCGTTCCGGATTGCGAAGGCGACACCGCGTCTCGTCGCTATGCCCTGGGTCAACCGCTTCAGAAGAAGGTGTAGCCGGCACCCACCTCCTCCAGTTGGCCTTGTTCACAGAATCGGGTCTCGCTGAGTGCGGCGATGTCCACCTTGTAGCGCGCCAGTTCTCGTGCCACTAAGTCTGTCCTCCGTTCCGGTCGGTTGCTCCTCGGAATGTCTAAAGGGGAACAAACATTCAAGGCTGCCAGAGTGGGCGGACTCAGCCTGCCAGTCTGGCGATTGCGGCGGCAAATACTAGGAGGAAAACGAGGAGAAGGAGAATAGGCTGGACGAGGAAGAGAGCGATTGTTGCTGTTGTTGTTTTGGTTTTGGCTGTTTCTACCGTGTGCGTTTTGTCTGCGGTCACGGCCAGCCTGCAGACAGCGTGGTTCCCAGCAATTTTTAGGGCACCTTTTCTAGCACCTAAATAGGGCTTCCCGGTTATCCCAGACGGCCGCAGGACTCCACTAACCTCCGGGACATCCCTTCAAGCTACCTGTGCCCCAAGGCAGATTAAATGTGAGGAAGTATTTCTTCTCCAACCGTGTCGTGGAACCGTGGAATAATCTGCCCGAGAAGATTGTTATGTCTCAATCTGTGGAGACATTTAAATGTCGGCTTGACAGACATATGCTGCAGCAACAAGTTGTCTATGTGACTTTGTAACCATGAGACCAGTTACTTATGTGAATCAATGTCTGCATTTACTTAATGCTGTAATTTCTTCACATTTTGCTTAATTTATCGATTTTGTTATGAACAAATAGGGAGTTGAAAGGCGTAAGCCTATTTCCCTCAAATATACTGACTGACTGACTGACTAATGCAATTGATATTCTTGCAGGTCATCTATCGGTGTCGATGGCCGAGGGGTTTAGGTGTTCACCACGTGAGGCGGGGGGTTGGAGGATCGACCCCAACTCCCCTTTTTCATCCTGCGGGACTGATGGATCTACAATTTTACATTTCCCACGCCTTTATGCGCCGAAGTCCAGGTATTAGAGTTGACACGTAAATTAAATATATAAGCAGATATTGCGTCAACAAGGCCGCTTGACGACTTCAGTAGGTCTAGTGCCTTGAAGGTTTTCAGGCGACATGCGCATCAGCCGCAAACAGGCACAACAGTGTTAAGAAGTGTTTGTTTTGGGGCCGAAGTTCAGATATTGTGTAGGAAGATGTTTTGCATTTCAGTCGCCCGAACAACGGATACTAGCAGCTTTTCACTCTGAGGGATGAATCGACTAATTTGCGCGGACGTTGCCTGGACATCCGCTGGCCGTTAGCAACCCTGAGTTTTTTTATTCCGAACTCATTGTCACCGCCCCCCGATGGTTCGCATTACACTAGTAGACCACTTGATAAGGACGATCAAATCCACCGTAAAATTTGCCAGAGCATTCTAGACGAATTTCAGTCTGACTGTCTGAATAATGTCGGGGTTCATACTGAAGTACACGTACGCGACATGCGAATATGTGAGGGCTTCAGTTGCTATGCAATGCTGATTAATGGCCGCGTGCGTCCTCCTACACATAATGGCCGCCAGATGTTAGTGTTTTCTGGAAGTGTGAAACCCCGACCGTAAGACTGGAATCGATTACTCTCTGTGTTAGAGACTTCTAACGTGCCACGAAACTGCAGAATACAGCAGTTGAAATACGGCCCGCCAAAGCTCTTTCAGCTCGGTTGTCGTGAATATCAACATCAAATAATGACCGCATATATCATTTAGCCCCGACGCCTACAGCGTGATAGGACCCAGGTTATCACCATTGTCAGGGTTCTTTTCATATGCATGCAGTGAGCATCGAGGGCAATCAATCACAGATGCCCGTAAACTAGGGAACTATCAAATCAACTCAGCAAACTAACAACAGTTCTCATATGAAACACGGAGTTTGCCATTGGTTCCCACACTACACTTACGGGAAAACCCACGCACAGGCCAGTCGTGCGTCGGCAGCTCACACCGTTCTCGGCTTCTGTACATAATGAATGTGCCCTACTGGTGTAGTTTCTAATCACTTCCTAAAGGAGACTGGGCCTTGTAAATTTTTTGGCTGGGGTACGTCCACCACCCTAGCCTCCAAGGATTTGTCTGCGGCTTACGGTGCTTCACATCCTCACTTAACAAAAAGTCTAATGCATAGGTCTGGCAAGGTTTACAACAGCTTGGTTCGTAAGCTATCGCGGCCGACAAATAGAACGTGCGTGACGCGGAGTACGGCAGAAGAGGAGCGCATAGTTCTCCTGAATTCCAGTTTGTCCACCTATGTGGGGAGTCCCATAGTTCGCAAATCGTATAGCTCGAGCCGTATGTAGGACAGTTAGTATACGGAAGTTGGTAGCCGAATTTGCTCATTGAAACGTCAGACTACAAATGTGTCTCCCACGGTTACTTCATGACCCTTAACGTGCGCAACTTTACAAATCATTTACCAGGTACTTCTACGCGCGCTCTGATATCACTTTGGTGATCTGGCTGCCTAAACTCTTCACAAAGTGTTTACTTACTCGAGTCCTCGAGTGCCTCCCTTTCTATGAAAAGTGAGCTGATTATGGGCGCCTACAGAAAACTACCAATCTTATACACCATAGTCTTAGAAAAGCTAGCGAAATAGAACTCATCCTCTTCAGTACTACACTATATAGGTAAACATGAATGGCGCCGGGCCTTTAACGACCCATAAAATCCCATACATCGTGCCTCGTCTGAATATCGATTATTTGCACGGTACATGACTTGTGTACGGGCAAATGTAAAAAAACACCAGGATCGAGGTGTAGAAAACTAGTTTGGTAGTTACTGCCGACAAAACGTGAAATGCAGACAGAAGAAAACTGGTCAGAATTCGCTGACAGGAAGCGCAAATTCTGCTTTTATCACAGATTTCATGCGAATGACGTGTTTGGGAGAACGGCTGTCATCCCCTGCGGTCCGAACTTCCCACGGTGAATATGTCTCCACGGTTATCATGCCAAAACGTCCCCAGCGTCTTTGGAAACTCGACTCTGGGGTGACAGTGGGGGATTGTTCCACGAATTTAAATAGAATCTGTCCAGGCTGTCACGGGAACGAAGCCATCAGCACTCAAGTCACTTACTGCCGTCACCGAAAAGCACTGGTCAGCATAAATAGATTTTAACAGGAAGTTGAGATAATGAATGACTTGTGATTTCGCAAGGCCCTTCATTGGAGCAGCCTAAATCACCCGACTGAAGTGATCAAATAGACCAGCAGCCTGCGTCCCGAGTCTTCCCCCTTCCTTTCTTGCTCCATATCCTACTCACAGAACTAGGAGGCCGGCAGCAGCCAACCATGCACTTATTAAAACAATGAACTGACGTAGTTGCGACTTATGCAGAAAAGTAAGACATAAACGGCCGTCTCTGTCTTACCGGCAGGCAGTTATACTCCAACTCGGGGCCAGGAAGTCCGACAACTTGAACCCAGCCTACTTGGTCGTTGAGCAGTACTCTAAGCGGTCTGCCAGTTGAGCTACGAGCCCTAATCCGTCGTCTGCGAAGGCGCTACACTGAGGCTGCGTTGCAGAACAAAACACCTGTACTTCATCCTGCGATCAGGACAGATCGGTAAACGCCGACCCCACGTGACGTTAAACAGCGATTCTCAAGGTAAAGGTCTTACTGGCACAGCAACTGCGCTGCATAAACGGCAGTGGCAGAAGGTCTGCGGCACAATGTCACGCGCGGGATCATAAAGAGCATTGCCGCCGTCCACTGGTAAATCTGTCACTCACGGATCAAATATTGCACCGAACCCCATTCTCACCCGTTTCGCATCGCGAACACGAGGTGCTGAATGGACTTTTAACGGTAGATAATTCCAAAATAGACTTGCGCCAATAGTCGGTCGGAAGTCTATTTGGACTGCTGTTTACAAAATCAATAGGGGTGTGGGGACGTAAGAATTAACCAATGTCACTAAATCCCGCCGTATTTCAAATTAT